TCTCTCTCTCTCTCACTCCCGCTTTCGTTCTGAGGTTGATTCTTTTATATACTGAAGAAATTTACCGCGAGACTGAAAAACGAGCTGATGATGATCAGTGTAAATTAGAGAAGAAAAGAAAGAAGCGGTAATTTCTTCATCATTATCATCTTCTTCTTTGGACGCAGCATCACCGAACTGCACATGTTTTTATCTATATACATTGCCAGTTCGCCCAATACTCGACAATGATCCGTCACTGTGGCGAGAAGTGAGGGAATGGCAACGTGTTCATAATAAAGTATATGAATTTCGGAAGGAACAACGAAACATGTTCAGATTATTAAAATCCAAATGAGTTAATTATCTGTCTACCAGGAATGACGTCATCTACACAGCGATAATCATCGATGAACTGTACCATAAGTATCTCTTAAACATCGTTAATAGTTAACAGACTGCTGCGCGTTGACCAGCATCGATGTATAAAAGAAAAAAAAAGAAGTTAGTCTAGATCGATGGCATCATCTCTAAACGATGCCGCTCCTCCTTCTCTGACATCGCATGAATGAACACACGACTATAATCTAGCAAAGTAATCGTACACTTGATCCTTTTTTTATATGTATTTTCTTGTTGCATAAGTTGAAAGGAGAATGAATGATGAAATTGTATATATTATATGAACATAGACATTAAAGAAATGAAACGAATAAAGAATTCGAAGATCTCATCTCGCGTTCGATGTGTGATCATCTTACATGAATGAATAACTTTCGATAGCAGAAAAGAAATTTACTGATGGAACGAAATTAGATAGATCTAGTCGCAAGAGAAACAAATGTGACTCGATAGAATGTCTTAAATTACATTTACCACCCATCAAGCAACGACTTCAGTGCATCTTCATCTGTCTGTTGATGAAGAGATGAAAATTAAAGTGAAATTATGTCTGATTGTCTATTCTTCACACGTAGATGATGTGGAGAACAGATCTGGAACGAATTGATATGTACGTATAGGAATACGTCATCGAATCATCAAGCTAGCAGCTTAAGTATCGACTTATATGGCGTGTGAAGAAGAAGAATCATCATCATCATCGTATTGACACTTGATTTATATCAGAGATTTTCGAGTAAGATTAGAGAAGTTGTTGCTTTTTCTTGCGATTATATTGCCAATCGACGACGATCAACTTTCGAATTGAAGATTGTGTAATCCCAAACTTTCTTTTCATGTTTGTAAATTGTCGGTTTTCTTTCGTCACGATTCACACTATGTAGGAATGTCTGATTTCTATTGGAATTTGTTTTATCAGATGAAAAGAAACAGGTGTAATAGACTAAGCGAAACGTCTTTTCTCATCAAGATTCTTTCACCGATAAATTCATTTCAAATAGACGCGTAGAAGTCAGTGGGAATGTTTAGTTGCCGTTGTAAGAGTTTTCTTCGCGCATAACTCTCGCTGGTTTGCTGCCGGAGATCGAAGTTGAGAATATTTTCGAGAAAGATTCTCAATGGCAAAATGTGTTCGTCTGGTTGCATCCAGAGTGTGAGAATATTTTCAATAATATGATGAACGCGAGCGGATGAGGTGATTGGCAGAAAACCGGATTTGATCTGATCGAAATCTGTCTCTAATTGAATGAAGAGAATTAGTGAGATTATTTTCTATCGAAAACGATTTACCATTTAATGGTGATTGATAATAATAGAGAACAGGATGAAGAAAGTTCGATCGATCGGCGGTATGAACTGAGGCAGAAACACGATCAAATGCAAAAACATCTCGACCTAGGCATTCGAATGCATAGAATTATTATTCAAATTAGTCAAAGAAAACAAATTCATCTCACCTGCACCTGAATAATTCATTCCGTATTGCATATTCAATACGAGAAGACTATTTGAAGTGTAACCGGTGATTTCGCCAAGACGTGGAAGTAATCGGAGAGGAAATTCTTCCAAATATCGACATTGACGGTCAACCCTATCGATACGGCAAGTTTTTCTTTCTAATATTAATAAAAACAAACAAACTACCGATCGATAAGTATCACGTCAACCAATTGACCGAACATTTGATAAATCCCATCAGCTTCGTTCATTCGTTTGATTAAATAATTTAGTAAGTTGTGCCATGAAAGAACGATCGATGGCCATTTTTGTTGATGATAACGAAATTGAAATATGCGGTGAAGTGCTCGAGTTGTATAACGAAAGCCATGAATGAATCCACCTGATGAACGACGAAAATCAAGCGAATGAGTTAATGTACCAGCGAGATACAAATGATCGTAGTCAAAGGATTGGTAATCCGAACGAATTTTTGGATATTTTTTCGTTCGACCGCGATTTTTCTCCATTGAGACATTTCTGAAGAGAGAAATAGATAACTATAACGAGCAAATTTCGATATTTACTCATGCCAAATTGAGTTGTCAAATTGAAATCCTAAACATCGAATGACTCGGTCATAAACTGTTGCTTCTTGTCTTTCTTGAATCGATGGGTTAGCATGAGATTGTTTGCGACTCAGTTGAAAACGACCATCACTAGACCGTTTTGATAATTCATGTTCTAACAAATCGATCTCTGCTAAAGCATCTAATGATTTCAGTTGATACGTATCCAATAATTGATTATTGATTGCCCTACAGATATCAAGGATGACAAAGAGTTTTTAATGCGGAACTGATCAACCTCAGATCACCAACATAATGTGTTGCATACGCATTACGTACACGAGATCGAGAGACCATGTGAATGAAATTCGTTACGTCGTAGATGTGTTGAGCCACTTCGAAGGCTGAGTTACCTCGACCTAAATTTAGAATTTTCATACAGGTCAAGCATTCTGTTTCGGGAACTATAACCTAAAATTAAAACAGATTTATTTTCGAATTCTTCGACATTCAGTGAAAGATTTTCATATCCATCTGCTAATTCAATGCCAACAATTGGAGGGATATTGGGAACAGACAAGCCAGTAGCTACAACAACGATTCTAAACTAATTTCTTCGATCATTTTTATCCTCCAGTTTGCTACACGTACCCACACGTGTAACGATTATCGTTTTGATCATTCATATGAAACCGTGTCACCGACGAGTACGAACATTCTCTCGATTGACATGTACTTGTTTGTTCAGGTAATGGATGAAGATTCTGAATTGTCGTATTGAATTGAATACGAAGATTGTAATGACGAGAGAAATCATTGAGATAATCGATCATAAGGTCTGCTGATGGAAATAGTTGTTTCGATCGATGAGTAAATCGGAGTTGATCATCGTCCGATAGTAATGAATTCCAGTCATGTCTATAGTTAAACTTGCGATTTCTTTCTCCAGTGAGACGCTTGTTAATGCTGATCAATCGACGGTGTCGAGGATAATCAACAAAAAACGAGCCTAGGAGAAAAATAAGAGAGATCGTGAGAGCGTATGATCATATTTTACCTGCTTGAGAACTCTTTTCGTAGATGATATAGTCTCGTTCGCTTTGCTGAAGAAAATATCCTAACTGTAAGCCACTAGGACCAGCACCGATAATACAATACTCATGAAATTTAGTTTGATCGACATGAAGACCGTACGTAATTATAAATAGCAAAAAAAGAAGAAAAACTTGCATTTTGAATGTGTTTTTATTGTGAAAGTAGGGTCTTTTTTGCTAGACGAGCAACTGATGATTATTATGGGAATCAACAACAGATGGTTGGTATTTCGATATGAGATATACAAGAAGTATACATTTTCAATCGTTTATTTCAAGTTCAATAAATGTCCTTTTGATCGAATTATAGTGCAAATCAATCAACGTGAAAGTACTGCTTTGACGAAATCCTCGTAATTCACCATTCCGTTTTTGTCTTCAAAATCTCCAATCAGCTGTTCGACTTCATCATCCGTTAATCGTTCGCCTACATAGACAACAGCAAATTTTCATTCAAATTGCGCGTTTCGTTTTACCTAAAGTCGTTAATAAATGTCGTAATTCTGTCGCTGGTATGAGACCACTTCCGTCTTTATCGAAAACTCGCAGAGCATCGTTGAATTCTTCAGCAGACGCGACATACTCTTGCTGTCGACTTAATCGGTCGAAGATCACTTGAAATTGTTCCATGGACAAACGTTCGACGCGTTGTAAATCGGCTAGAATCGACCGAATCTCTCTTTCAGTTGGATTCAATCCCAATGCACGAGTCGCTTCGCCTAGATAATGCTTCGGGATATGATTATCTCCACGATCATCGTATAGGTTGAAAACTAGAAAAGAAAATGAATTCCAGAATTTGAATTTCATCTCATTTACCTTCGCGAATTTCAGCGATGGTCTCATGAGTAAGTCCTGCCATGTTGTAAAAATGTGTAAAAGTCAGCGATCGTGTTTACTCTGCGCGATAAGAGAGTAAATATGAGTCGATAGATAATGAATGACCTATTCTCACTGACTAACATGAGACGAAAGAGATGGTAGAAGACAGACAGAACAAATTTGCACAGAAATCTTCCACAACGAATAATAATTGCTTAGCAGTGGATGTCACTGTTGAACAGCCGTTGAATACAGGTGGGTTTGAGGTGTCTGTGAACTATTTCACACAACGCGGATTTTCTTGGAAAGTGAAATGCAACCGGTAGAATAACATGAACTGAAAGATGATGATAACCGACGATTCAGTATTGGAAATGGTCTTATGGATTCGCAATCAAGATCAGCAGAGATTGTCGAGCCTCGGATGCCTATATAAACATGACCTATCGTCACATCTGTCAGTCATGTCGACTTACAAAATGTTTTTAACGTGAAATTATCACTGACAAGTTTCGTCCGTCAATACGGATGAAATGAAAAATAAAAACCTGATCCAAAGCACAAAGTCAATATGATTATGAAAGAATAACTCAATCGAAATGACGTAGACATTCGATCTTTATTCTCTAGTTACCAACAGTTAATCTTTCGCCATTCGATCACTTCTTCCTATAACATCCGATCAATGAACACATGCGTCGTCACTTGATAGCCGCTCGTAACCTTAATCGATCTGATGAAATGTATTTCCCGGGACTTGTTCAACATTCTCTATTTACTCTTTATGAGACAACTGTAAGTTTCCTTTGTCGTCTCGCTCATAACTCTACTGTTAAACTTATTCGATACAAATATGATTGACATTGAATTGACATATCCTCTATGTCTGCAGCCATCTATAAACCGCAAAACATTTCTTAAATTTGATAAGCTGTTTTGTCGCTATTTCATTTCGGATAACAAGAAAACCCGTGAACGTTCTCTTACAAATCAACTTTTCAGAAACCTTTCTGTGTTCAACTCAATAAACGTTGAGTAAATTGTCTTGATTGTCTTAGATGTTCATGTGCGCTTTGTTTTGCGCATTTCAGTAAATGGAAGAATTTCCGGTCTGAAAGTCGAATATTCACAAGTTCTCGCACGTATAAATCATTGATTTACAATAAAGTCACGAACTGATTCCATTAGCTTAACCCAATGCTCTCATCTATCATATTTACTGACCAACCTCGTCTATTGCGTGAAAAAATTTCTTTTAACAATCGACTAAAACAATGTAGCGATCCATGAGGAGAGTTTTCATACAGCTTCCGAAGGAGGCGCTTCAATGGAATCCGCTAGTATAATATTGATTGAATTTTTCGACTCATTTTTCGAGTCATGTTCGTCAATTGAAGTCAACATCGGATTGGGTATGACATTGACTGTTCCATTCGACGTTCGAATCGGTGCTGACTTGGATCGACCCTTTCTCAAAGTTCTTTGATAAAATATTTGATTATCACTTTTCGCACTCGCTGTCATTGACCGGACGAATTTCTTCTTCCAGTTCTTATTCGAATCCTTCTTCAAACCCGACGAGTTTTGATAGAAATCATACAATTGAATATAGTATTTGTTCGTGGTGTTTGCTGCTAGCTGTTGTTGGTGATTATTCGTCGGCGGATTAGCCAGAGCAACTGAAGTTCGTTCAAGTGATACGAAACGTGGACGTTGACCAACTTTGACATCCGTTGTTAGACACTTTCGAAACATGATCTGCTTACATGTGCGAGCAAATTTCTCCGATAGAAAACAGTAGAGAATCAAATCGATCGATGCATTTATACAAAGAAATAGATTAGCGAAATTATTGAAAATTAATAAGATAATCCGATGTTCGTGAGACATATCTGAATAGCTTTCAATCAGTGTTTCATAGGTCAATGATAAACTTTGTGGTGTCCATAATAGCAAAGCAACGAACAGACAAAAGATTAAGATTATAGTTACACGACGTTTCTGAAGTATTGAACGACTGTGGCGACGGAGCTGAAACGAACTTCCAGTATTGAACGAAACGGATGATATCGACGAAGATTTACGACGGTTCGTTGCAGGATAGTCGAGTTTATTTGTAATCGACATCGAAGAGCCTTGATCTGAATCGTAGTTCGTGGTGGATTGAACATCATCATCGAAATGACGCGATCGATGGACATACCTAAAATGACAAAAATTATGTAATTCATCAAGAATTTTCACCAGTACTCAAATCTTTCGATCGTCATCGTCAACGCGATTCAATTGTCTAGCTAATGCATTTAGAATGAACATTTCCGAATTTCTAATCGAAAGCTATTGTCTTTCAAATCAAGTACATTGAGAAAATTCAATATACTACCACTATAGACCGATTCTAAAGATTGAATAGGAAAAGGCATAAGGAACTGGATTTTTTTCTATAATTCAATCAGAGAATACAAACTGAATAGAAGTCTTTTGTCAGTCAGGTGTCCTTGCTTCGGAATGAATACTATCCTGTCAATTGACCAAATATATTGTTCTAGTCAGTGCAACAGTAAACCTTCCTCATCCAAGTTTTAAAAATAGCTTCAAATTATTCTGCTGTCGTCTTAGTACCAATTACTTATTGATTAGTCTAAATAATTCGATAAGGCAAAAGTCTATATAATTACGATCAAGGTAACATATTTTGATCATATGTCAACTATCGAAATGTCTTTTTCGTCAGTTGAAGAAGTATAATCTGCTCGATATCATGTGGAAAATTACCATTTCGAACATTCACACATGAATAAATCTTCTCTCATTGTCATTAGGAAACAAAGTACTCTTCACATACCAGATGAGTATTGAATTACACACACAAAGCACTGTCAATGGTATCCATATAATGACCACACATATGAAGACTAAATATGACCGATGAAGATGTAGAAAGATTTGTTTTTTCTTTGATGCATAAGCAGAGTCAGTTAAATTATAATGAATGTCATTCGGAGAACTTTCATGTACTAAATTATGCTCGAAAAATGTAGGCAATGTAACGAGAAAGCAAATGATTAGTAAGCTAATGATAACACGACGGGAGCGACGTACGGAGCATGTACGTTTAGCATAGATTGGTTTGGCTACGGCTAAGGTGCGTTCAAGTGTAAAACAAACGATTAACCATGTTGCTGTGTTCGACGAGAAATCAGCGAGTGGACGTAGAGCATGCGTGAAGGTTTGAGTGATTGTATATTGAGTAAATTTCGAATGTGAAGCGATGTTCAATAGCAATGTAAAGATCAGATAACATGAATCGAACACGGCGAGAACTGTTAGATAATTATTTGTACTCGTACGTATCAATCGTCGACGTGTGAGAACGAGAATCGAGAAACAATTGCCCGTTAAACCGAAGACGACCAACAATGGCCAGATGTAGAATTTGACTATTGTGCGAACGCGTGATAACAGCACAGAATTGATTTCGACGGTTGATAATTCATAGGTGTCGATAAATGACGATGACATTAGTTGAGAACTAGAATGAGAAGTAGATTGCTATGATTATTTCGAATTATTGACGGCGAAGAAAAACTGAATATTTATCTACATGGTCACATTATTGATTATTTATGTATTCAAATAAGTATTCGATTCGAATGTAAATCTAGTTCGATGCTTCGAATCGAAGCAGAAGAAGATCCCTCATATTCAATTATCTTACAATTCTTCTTAATAAAAATGTCTTTTGTCCGGGAATAGCCGAGAACTTGTCTCCTCTTTCATTCTTTTCTCCCTTCTGTATCAATGAAGTTCTAAGTGCTTTCTTCATAGAAAAGATATAAACAAAACACACACACACACACACTAGAAGATAATTTGCATGTCCTGTTTTCTCGTCTCGATGTGCTCACAAAACGAATGAAACTGACATTGCTCAGTACTGAACAAAGTAGTTAGACGATGGTTGATCGGACTATTAACCAAGAACGAGAATGTGGCGCAAGATTAAGCATTTAGCAATGATGAAACGATGTTATTAAAGCTGACTACATAAATTTCCAAATATGATTACAAACTATGTAGTTCTTTTCCTATAGCGGCACACAGGAAGAAACTAGCAGCGCAAATAGAGTTTTTTTTTCCGCAAAAACCCACTGGTATAATCATATCAACTTCAAGTAAATTAACATAATTGTTATTTTTCTGATGATAGCTACTATAAATTCTAAGTTTCCATCTATTTTCCAAAAATATCTCTTCTGACGAAAGTCACTTTGATTGAATGTTCTCATTCGTCTATCTACTCTCTTATCTCTGCGTAGCAAAGACTAATACTATGAGATAAATGATGGAGAGGTACATCCCAAACATGAACATCTCCTTCCAAGACTCAGTTAAAAAGAAAACGCTTCCCTGTAGTAAGTTCGTGATTAAATTACTTTTCTCTACCGATAAAATTATGAATTTGGACATGTCTCAGAGAATAATCTATGATTAAGGGCTAAAAAAAATAGAGAGATAAGCATCTTTGTAATGAGCCGTCTGAGTTCAACATGCGTTTTATCTGCTAAAATGAACTCGTTCGTATCGCACTAGAATAGAGAGTGAGGAGGAAAAGGAAAATTTAGAATCCTTCATTTCAACTAATATTCATCAAAATGATATTTAATACATGCGAGCGTGTTTCTCTCACAAAATGTGACAAACACGATCTCATCTCTCGACAAAAGACTCCCTATGCAGTGCGTGAGCGCAAGAATATATTCAAAGAAAGCTGCGCAGATGTTGATACAACCTAAGAAAAAAAAAGAAAACTATTCGCAATAAACTGACACCCTTCTCACATACGACCAAGAATTCGCTGAGTAATAATCGCTAATTAGAAAGTTCTCAACTTTACTTTGTCATATCTAGTTAATCATCTAATTACTGTCGATATACACGAACGTACATGATTTTTAGCCAAACCCAAGAGCAGAACACAAATCTACACGCAATACGTTAACACATCTAATGTAAAAAAGAACAAATTGTTACCGAGTACAATGCTGCTTCTGACATGAACAAGGCGGAGAAGAAAGAGCTTGACATGATTGCAAAAACACAATGGAGTATACATAGCGTGCTTGACATCTGCAGTTTTGAACAAGCACTAGAGATCAGCATTCAATGCGAACGGTACCACTATGTCAAGGAATTAAAATGATGTTTTTAGATTGCGCATCGAGTGAGCGTTAGTTTGATTGAATACGCTCGAATCTACGTCTTATGCTTACCACCTGTGATCCTGATCTTTTTCAAAGTACCCAAAAGATCACGATCTGAGGTATGAAACATCGGCATTTTATATGAACGTTAAAAACATGGAAAATGTCCCGCTGTGATATTTTCTTTGATTCGTTTGACTAGAAAATTGCTCTTTTCCTTTGTTAATGCGCAACTGATGACGAATATAATAAGTCGAGTGCTGTTTATTGTTAAACTCTTTGATATTGCCGGTTCGATTGATGAAAAGTAGAATACAAGTGTGCGTTCTTTTAAAAGCCGGCTTCTAAACAAAATCTCAAACTGGCTATATGTGACGAACTAAAAGTAGATATCTAACATGTCAAAATGCATGCAAGTAATTACCAATGAGATGGTACTTCAAAACTGTTGTGTGCAAGTGCTGAAATCTAAGAACAATTTATATCTGATTTCATCGAGAGAACATCTCGTTTCGCAAATAATTATAAAGCACAACCAAATGATTTTCCTCTTAAGAGTACATACCGGTTGTTTGCACTCATACGAATGACATTGTATCGCGTACAGCTAGTTCAAATTTAGACAAACTTGCTGATAGGAAAACTATAGTCGTTAGTGAAAATCAGCTTAGTGAAATGCGTTGCTAAAGGCGAACATGTATGTATAAATATAACTGATTATCCATCATGCAGCTGTCGAATGATTCGAGACACTAGAAATTATTGTCTGCTGTGATATTTATTCGTCCTTAGTTTACACGAGAATTTTTCCAGGTCATCGTACTTATCATACTTATTGTATCAAAATGAAGATTTTAGAATGAATCTTCGTCTAACTATTAGGCTGGATAGAAAAGAAGTGCTGTAGTTGATCCGGGATCGAGATTTTTGTGATAGCATGACGAGAAATCATCTAGGTTAATTGCGTGTCTACCGTTTTGAATGTTCGGATGATGATTTGTCGAGTTCAAATGCTACAATTCATTATGTCAAAGAAACTTTTATCGCCATCTGTCATTAGTTCCAAGGTTGAAGAAGTTTCGGATATAAAACTCAGTAAGTATTTGATCCAGAAACCTTCGTCTGTTCGAATAACGAACGTCACAATGGATAATTGTTCACCCTTTATGAAAGTTCTCTAGTTACAAGAACTTCAATGAACTCACCGAAAAAAAAAGACCGCTTTATTTGTTGTTTATTTATATGATATCCAGAGTGCATATACTTTTTAACGTTCTTATCAGTGATTCGTCAGTTATCTAAACACTTTTAATAAAACTACAACTAAACATGCATTGGAAATTTCATCTCAACATACTGTTGTATGTTAGCGGTTCATGTCTTTTTATTATTGGTTCAGTTCTATTTCATCCGCATTTTTCTGCAGTTAGTTCTTTGTACCAAACAGGTGTTCTAACATTTACTATTGGTTCTTGTTTATTTGCTTTGGCTTCACTACAACAATTACACAACAACTTTCAATCTGTGTATTCATCTGAAAATATATTGTCGGATGACAATCAGTCGTTGAATATGGATTTAGCAGTATCGTTTTGTCGGAATACCATTGGAAGTGTTTCTGGATTTCTGTTTATCGTCGGTTCAATAGCATTCTGGCCTAGTTTCAGTCATGGCGGAGCACTTGTAGGCAATTGGTTGTATCGTTGCGGTGCAAGTTTAAGTCTCCTTAACTCTCTATGGGCACTGATCCGAGAACAAATGAAATTATCAAAATATACACTCTTAAAACTAATGATACTACTATCTTTGTTCGGAGCGATTGGCTTCCTCGTCGGCGGCGGATATTTTCTTTACGGTGGAAAATACGATAGTGAAGGAAGTTATTCTTGGTTAGCAGGATCCATATCTTATCTTTTATCGTCACTGATCATTTATAAACTCTAAAATTCTATCAATCAGTGTCGTAAGGTATGAAGAGAAATGTATTAAAATCAAACTTCTTCTCTCACATAATGGCTAATGGCACATTAACCTTAGTAGTGACACATTTTGCATGTGTGTTTTTGATTCGTTTTCTTCATTCTTTACAAATATCTATGACATAAATATTATTTGCTTTCGCAATGTATATGTTCTGTACGAAGTTCGTAGGTGGAAAAAAACAACTACACCATGGGCTTGAAAATAAAATGACGAACGTAGTAAAAGTACGAACGAAAGAAACAAATATTTTTATACATGCATCATTAGAAGAAAGAGACTACCCTAAACATACCTTTTGTCTTCCTTTCTTCTAACTATCAACAAAACAACATAGTTAGATTAATAATTAAGTAGGATAGATTACTCTTAGAACCAATCATCGAGTACTTTGTTTTGTTCTGGTTGAGACTCGCGTGGCGCAAAATCTTGTTTTAGACGGTGAGTTTCATGCGTATATTTACATAGGAATTGCAATTAGTCAATATTTATTATGTGCATACATTTAGCAGAAAAACGAGCGTGTGCGAAGAGCGATGTGTTTCTTTGAATGAAATTCACCTTTGACAGGAGCGCCTTTCGTTAGTTTTAGATATGAAAAGTTTATTTCGTTCGCGTGTTCCGCCACCTTTAGATGCCAATCAATTGGATAAACTAAGTCGACAATGTCATTTGCCGAAAGAAGATGTTGAAGAATGGTACGAACGTTTCAATCACTGCTATCCTCGTGGTCTTTCTTATAAAGAATTTCTCTTTTATCTACAGCAAATTCAGTCGAAAAACACTGCCAACGGCAAACGACCGGCAAAATCCATGATGAAACGATTGTTTCGTTTGTTAGATGTAAATCAAGATAAACAATTAGATTTCGAAGAATTCTTTGTATTTAATATTCTTATTAATCAAGGTTTCGTTGAAGATAAATTACGATTGATTCTGAATCTCTACGACAAAGACAAGGAGAAATATTTAACCAAAGAACAATTGAATAATGTTCTCAATGACATGTTCGATCTATTGGATATTCCAACAGCTAAAGAAGATTTACTGCAACGGATTGAAACGATCTTAACACGTGCAAATTTCAATACACAGAGTAGCAAATTCAGTTGGCATGCATTTAGTTCGCATGTTCTCAACAATCAATCTCTATTCAATCTTCTCATATCCAACCAGACAGTTGCCGATTTCGATGATAATTTCGGTTATATAATAACACGATTTTAAATACTTTGCTCTTTTCTGTTCAGACAAATCATCTCGGTGTATCGATTTTTTTTCTTTCGCACAGTGATAATATAAGCTACATTACCTGAATTCTATCTCACCAAACACATATCAAAGTCCTTGCTACTAGTCGTACTTTTCTTTCTCCCTCCGCTAATACAATGAACGAAAAACACACATGTGTGAATCGATGCATATCACTCTTATCCATGATATATACGTACATACTTCATGTGTGTTTCCTTCACTAATCAATAAAGTCGACATGTCTACGCCGTCGTCCATGAAAAAACTTATTGATACTGCACATATTATCGAGCCGATGGGAACACATCTCCATTCGATCATTTGGTTCCATGGATTCGGCGATAGTTCAGAGGGCTGTAAAGACATCTTTAGTCAAATTCAACCTCCGAATACAAGAATTGTTCTGCCAAATGCACCTAAACGATGGCATACGATTCAAGGTCAACAACATTTCGTACAAAGTTGGTATGGGGAAGAGGCAGCAACTGTCGAACACGGTTTGCCCATCGTGAAATGGATCAATGAATTAATCGATGGTGAGATCGAGCTCGTTAAAGATTCAACACAGCTTATTATCGGTGGTTTCAGGTATTTGTCTTCGATAAAAGGAAACATTCGGTTCAAAAAGTTTGCATTTCTTTTTTTGTAGTCAAGGCGCTTGCTTAGCATTAATGACTGGTCTGAGATTTCCGAAACTATTGGGCGGAATCATTTGTTGTAGTGGTCATGTTGCATATCTCGATAGAATTCAAGAATTTCTAGGTGAGCATGCACGACAAGTGCCGATTTTAGTCTTACATGGTAAGGATGATGATCGAATCTGCTGGGACGAAGTCAAACCAGGTTTCGACCTATTGCGACAACATGGCCTTCAAGATAATTTACAAATTGTTGTCGAAGATCGAGTTGGACATATAATTAGTCGACGAGGATTTAATCAAATTATCATGTTCTTTGTTAAACAATTTAAATTATAGAAAGAAAGACTTTTTGACGATATTGTTTTATCTTTGCTTCATCATAATGAGTCATGTTTTATTTGAAAATAAACAAAGATAAAAAATACGACTAGCACCGACGTTTTCATTTCATGTATGACATTTTCAAAGATTCCGACGCCTCGGGTCGATCCCGTAACCGGTGAAACGTATTACACCCGAGAAGATGCGATGAATTTAAGTCCTCAGCAATACGAAGAATGGGTTTATTCAAATAAAACAGTACATGTGAACGAAGTTCGTTTGTACGAACAGAAATTTTGGAATATTCTACTAACAAAATCTCCGCCATTCCTACCGTTACTATTTTGGCCGTTCGTTATTTACTATCTGACAACACCAATGACATTCCTTCGATTCATGTGGATATGCACCGGATTGCTCCTTTGGTTTCCAATGGAATATGTATTTCATCGCTTTCTTTTTCATCTACCAGTCGTCGGCATCCGTTCCCAAAAATTTCATTTTTTCCTACACGGAATTCATCATGTTGCCCCAACTGATCTCTGGCATGTCTTTTCTCCAGTTTATGAACTAGGCGCACAAGCTTTTCTTATCTGGTGTGTGTTCAACATTCTCCATGTGCCTGATCCTAATGCATTAGTATCGGGTTTACTGATTAATTACATTCGATATGATTCGATTCATTATTTAATTCATGCATACACACCAGATCAAATTGGGAAAATACCTTTCGCGGGAGGTTATTTGAAACAATGTGCCATTCATCATCGTCAACATCATTTTTCTAATCCGAGAAAACATTTCACTATCAGTTTTGTTTCGTCCTTTCTCGATTAAATCGATAAACATGACGCATGAGTCATCAAAAGCGTAATGAACACGTCATGGATATCTTGTCGGCCGTATTGCGAAGATAGTAACCAAATTTTACTGAACGTTATTTACTTTCGTTTGATTTCTTATCTCGAATTTTCATTCTGTTGTCACATGTGACGGACAGTGATCAGGCATGTTCGTCTAACGAACCACACCTCTCTTCTGTTTTGATATCAAACCTCTAATCTAACATGCTTACAACATATCTTACTCTCAGAACTAAACAACAACATGCAAGAAAAGAAAATTCAAAGAAAAGAAAACGTTAAGTGAAGATACATATATATATTCATGCAGCAGAAGAATGAAAGATAGATAAGGACGATTAAAATATGTAAGATGCTTTATTTACACACTCTGATACAAATAATGTCAGTAGTCACTTTCATTCACGTGCTTAGAAAATATTCGCAGTACGTAGATGATAAATCTCTTTCTATAAAATATACGCGATACATTTTTTCTTCTATAGCACTATTCAGACGAGAAAATTTCAACCATGGAGAAGCCGATGACTAACGGAATGAAAGGAACTTGGCTACCGATTCAAGCATCACGTAGCGCAAGAAATACAATCAATCCCATCAGACGTATTGTTGATCGAATGAAAATAAGTCCTAATCCAGCTAAAGAGATGATTTCGTTATCAATTGGTGATCCAACGCATTATGGAAATATGTTGCCGCCTGTTGAAGCTCTGGAAGCGATTGTCGAAGCTGTACAATTACCGACGTGTCATGGCTATGCACCATCGTTCGGTACATTAGATGCACGAAGAGCAGTCGCTCAGTTTTGGTCTCGATCTAATTACATTGTCAAACCTGAAGTATAAGGAAATCTATCATGAAAAGCAAACATTTTCTCGGTTGTTTTTATCGTAGGATGTTATTTTAACTAGTGGTTGTTCTCATGCATTAGAAATGTGTGTTGATGGTCTGGCTGATTCAGGTGATAATATTCTACTTCCAAGACCTGGTTTTTCACTTTATGTAACACTATGTCAATCGCTTGGTATTGAACCTCGATTTTATGATTTATTGGTAAATTGAAGCAATGTTTTGTTGCATGTCTTGTTCGAGTTTGAATTTCAGCCGAATGAACAATGGCGGGCTGATTTAAGTCATCTGGAATCATTGATCGACGACCGAACACGGGCTGTTCTAATTAATAATCCCAGTAATCCATGCGGTGCTGTTTATTCGGAAGAACATCTTCGCCAACTGATAAATATTTGTGAAAGAAATCATTTGCCTATCATTGCCGATGAAATCTATGCGGATATGGTAAGATTTTCGAGATGAACAAAACTGAACGTTTCAGTTGATCTCCATTGCAGATCTTCAGTGGTAACCAATTTCATTTTCTTGGAATGCTCTCCGAAAATGTTCCTGTACTTTCATGCGGCGGCATTTCGAAGCGATTTATCTGTCCAGGTTGGCGTGTTGGCTGGATTGTAATTCATGATAGACATAATCTTTTTAAAGGTATACTTCCCTCCGTCAACAAATATGATTTTTCAGAAAATATCTTTATCTTCAGACACGATTAAACCAGGTTTAATGGATTTATCCAGTCGTATCCTCGGTCCGAACTCAGTCACACAAGCAGCCATGTCTCATATTCTTTCTGAAACACCTGATTCTTACTACGATGATATTCTTCAACAACTTCAGGTAACTCCATTTTTTTCAACAACATGCAATACATTTCTTTCTCGTCTCAAAATTGATTTAGAACAATGCAGAATTCGTTTATAATTCGCTTTTAGAAGCGCCAGGTCTCCGTCCAACTATGCCGCAAGGTAAAATCGCTCTCTTCTCTTTGCTTTTCCATTCTATATTTCGATTCTTTAGGTGCAATGTACATGCTGATCGCAATTAATCCATCAGCTTTTCTTGATATTCAAGACGATAAAGAATTTTTTACAAAACTACTCTGTGAAGAATCGATTTCATGTCTCCCTGCCTCCGTAAACGAAATCTTAGCATCGAAAACATTACCTCTTCGTGTTTTTCTTTAGGTATTTGGTATTGATAATTTTATTCGTATCGTTCTTACAACGCCGATGGAGAAGACAGAAGAAGCATGTCAACGAATACTCGAATTCTGTCACCGCCATGCAAAAACGATTGCGTGATGCATTTTTCTTTGTTCACCGTTTGATTTTACAAATAAAAAAAAGGAAAAAATTACTAGGCGCCGTTATTCACATAAATCCCTAGTCAACTAAAATATCTCCAATAGTTCAGTTTACCTCTCAAACGTAGAGATACTTCTCCGATGAAACTTCTCCTCTTTATCTTTCTTCTCACCCGACCTGAACAATATTTTTTCCATCAATTCATTCGCAATGACACTCGTCGACAAGCAATCGAAGAGAAATCCTCAGTCAAACCCATGATCTCCAATAAAGTTTTTCTCATCATTATCGCTTGTCTTTTCCTAGTTGTAGTTGCCACGTAAGTCATTTTACATTCTCAATCGATCATTCTCTAATACGATTATAATTAGAATCTTAACAGTTTATTTGACCAAAGATCAAATGAAAGATTTTGTCATTCAAATGCGCCGCAAACATCGCGGTCCGACTATTCATCAATTCAATCCTCATGGTGTCATGTCCGATCAACAGAAATCAGCTGCGCATGACAAAGTTCCAGTTGGACATGCGAATACGAAACGCGAACGAACATCAATGCATGCCTTTATGAATCTGTCGAGTAAACCTCAGCAAAACTCCTTTTCCGATTATCGACACTCTCAATCCGCCGCAGATCTTTTTCTCTATCGATGAAAGTAATCATGTTGAGAATTACTTTGTGAATATTCTTTCAATATTAATCATTTAACAATTTGTCGTGTCGAAATACACACACAAATCAAAAGAAGAAAAAAAAATAATAAGAACTTTCGCAAAAAAAAACAAACAAGAAAAATTTTTCGTACACATCAACAATATTCTTAAATAAGGAGAGCACATATTCGATTTGAAAATTATACAGATAATTAACTAATAATACAATCTTTCTTCCTTCGTCCTCCACTACTTTTCTTGTCCTTTTTATTCAATGTCATTGATTTCTTCATTAACGATGGATTGATTGTATTCACTCCAAGACCACATTCATCCACATAACTAATTTTTGTTCCGTAGTTAATCGGCTTTCGTAGACGATTACCGTGGATGTCGTATTGGTAATAAATTGAATTCAAATCATCTTCTTCATCGTCGTCATCGTCGGATGATGATGATGAAGATGAACGACGTATTGACGAAGCATTTTTCTTCGATCGATAACTCATTGTTGGTGAGCGTTTGTATGTTTTGTCCTTTTCATCATCAACAAATCGTACATGATGTTGTTTGGTGAAACGTGCTGAGCCGTTCAATGAACGCGAACGCGGAAATTGTGTCGTCGTACTCAATTTTGGTCGAGAAATAGGATACATGATTTCGTTGGAATCGAAGTTCTTTACTCGACTTGGCTGATCGATTAATGTTTCTTGGGATATGGTTGGATAGACTTTCGTTTTTGGTTTCGAGACAGATTTGTTACTTAGATCGGGTAGCGATGCGCGTGACGATTTCGATGTGGAACATCGAGCTATTTCTAAGGTAGCACCGTGTCGATCAAGTTGTTCAAGATTTAAGTCATTATAGAATTGAATTGGTTCACGTGAACGACTGCGCGTGATATTGATCTGTTGTTGATGATGTGACGCGTTCGGAGGCGATGTTTGATATTGAAGAAACACTTGTGGTTGTTGATGGCGATTGTAACGACGGCTGCCTGTGCCATCAGACATATAACCACTCGTATAGTCACGTTTGGACTTTTGCATACCAGCACCATCGGAGACGTAGCCTGTTTGATCTTTGACTCGTCGAGGCGGTTGCTGATGAGATGGAAGTTTTGGACGAGGAGGAAGAACTCGTACATGTTGATTTGTATGTGTATATGACGTGGGAATAATATCAGGACCTTGTTGATATTTGCTCTGTTGGAGTAGTTTCGAATTGATCGAACGGTTGTTTCGTTGGGATGCACATTCATTGGAACAAAACAATGCTCCGTAACGTGGGAAAAAGCCACGATTATGAAGTGGAATTCGACATGTATAGCAATAAAAACATGCGTCCGTTGCATGCCAGTGTTGGGACTCGTGTGCCATTTGAGGTTGGTCAGTTTCAATGCGTTCACCGCATGTGTCACAATATTCTGCATACATGGTTTCAAAGCAATTCAAACAAAAGGGTTGACTTTGACGCATTACATAACGATCTCCACCCAAGCGCTTCTTACAATTCGAACAACAAAAATGATCCATATGCCAACTGTAACCTTCAGCTTCCGTGCATTCATCACTGAAGATAATCTACACAGATAAACAAGAAAACAAATTAGTTCACATCATAGTAGTCAATTACACTAAACGCGTTCATCTAGCATGATAAACAAAACATCGAGACTTTTGACATATGTAAACACATGTCGAACATAAGTATATCAATGAACTATGAATTTGTCATCACTCAATACCTTACGTCGAAGTGGTAATGGTCTTTTATCCATAAATGTGTATTGTCAAGCAAGTAACCTAATAATTTTCAACTGTTTTTACTCCTACATCGACGTATGTGTATATATACACGTATTCGAGTGTCTACCGGTTCTCCTCTATGATTATTTTTTAATGATTATACAATCAATTATAATTTCTTTTGAAGAGCAATTGTTCGTTTTTTCTATTCTAATGATTGATTATCATTCTTCTTGCCTTACCTCATCACATGCTGTACATCGTGGTTTGTACAGTTCAGCATGATGTCGACCGCAATAAAGTTGACCGTCTTTGTGGAAATAGATTAGATTAACGAGGAATTCTTTACATTGAGTACAAGTAAAACATTGAGGATGCCAAAGACCAGTACGACCGGCTCGCTCGGCAAATACACATATCGAACCTGAATCAATCAGTTTTTGACACTAGAAAAAGCAAAAGTAATTATGAGTGGAAGATATATGATTATTCTTATCATTTTATCTGTTTTTGATTTCACACTTAGTGTTAGTCGAAATGTCAAACTCACTTGTTGCTTCGTTTAATCAGTGAACTTTTACTTTGTCTATCCGTCGACCAACAATTAACTAGTCTATCGTTTGATGATGATTTTCTTTCATGATGCATATCTATTTGTACTACATTGTTATCATTTCATCTGATTTTCTTTTGCCTCTCGAGAAAGATTGATCGACATCAAAAAGGTTGAACACTTCTACTTAACGAAAACGCCTCTTTTAACGCTTGCGCGATCAGAGTGGAAAAATCTTCCCACCACCGTGTGCTTCTAACCTTAGATGTCAAAAGTTTGAAATCGGATATGATCTCTTGATCTTATGTCATCATCGATTTGAACGTGTTCAAATTTGAGTGTTGAACTTACTCCACGACATGGCATAGGCGATTGTGTTAATGGTAATTGTCTTGCTGAACCACGACCAAGTGCATTATGTCGTTGTTGTTCATTGAATATTCTCAATTCGTTTTTTTCATCTTCATTTAATACACGACAATATTTTGGATCTGAATCATGAGGGGGTAATTGTTCTTCAAGCATTCGCTATTACATAAGAATGAACATAATCAATAAAAGAAACTGAAGCAAATCAGGTGAACTTTTTCAATTACCGTTCGATATTTCTCTCCAATCGAATTAAGAAATGGAACTTTGTCCTCAGGAAAACATTTGAAAAATTGTCGAACCTACAAATGTACGAGTCGATCAATGTAATCATCTAATCTTCCATAGTACATACTTGTTCTGCTTTGAGGCCAGGGGGACACCAGGCATATTCTTCCAGAGCACAACCTGAATCATCGTCACTATTCGATAAACGTGAATGTTGTTGATGTAGCATGTTCTTTGTTTCGTATTCGTTAAGATTAATTTGAGTATCTATACAAGCTCTAAAAAAAGAACAGTAAATGAATAAATACAAAGTAATACATCATGTCTGTCTGAATGTATGCATGTCTCATTCATGCATTCAAACGAAGAAAGGAGAAAAAGAATAGGGAGAGATAAATCTTTGTCATCTTTCATAAGACGTGAGAACAAAACGAACGATTATGTATGGACTAGTAAATCATCGAGATAAGATGTTGAACTATTTCAAACGATGAAATAGCTGTTGTCGCATTCAATGAAAATGTTTCACGAAGGTTAAAAGGGATAAAAATGAAATGAGAGAACGAACGAACGAAGATAGAATTCTCCTTGCACATAGCTGTTAACATTTTTTTCTATATTAAATTGATGTACGTTCGATAAAAAATTATAATAATTGGATAATAGGTCTACCTCTACTTCGAATACAATTAGATCGAAAAGAATATTTATACATATCGGTTATCTAAAGTGCACATCTAAAAATGCCTCAACAGCTTTCTTTTTTTTCTTCAACATATTTCTAATAACTTGTTTAAAGTTATGATGCAATCGTATGAGAAGATGAGCAGATGCCCTCTCTCCCTCTCTCTCTTGTTAGCGGACGTGCGAAAGATTTTGTGGAATAGTTGACAAGCAACAAATCGAGCAAAAAATAAGTTCCTTTTAACGATACTTAACGAGGAATGATGGTAGTGACGACAGCAGGCTTTTTTCAGTTAATGAGACTAACTCTGCGTTCTGTATGCTTCTTGGGAATAGAAAAATAAGGTACCTAATGAACGATAATCGCCTAGCAAAAGATTGCATGTATGAATAGTTAACGTTGGACGAAGAAAAAAAAAAAGAAAGAAACGATATATATGCATAATCGTTCAATCATTACTAGGAGAAGAAAGTTTTTGACAGATCTTTGAGTCTTTTGTTTACTTTACCTTTATGCGTTCTTGTCATGCTGTGAAGATATTGATTTTCAAATCTCTGTCGACGTCTTTTGTTTAAATTGAAACAAAATACACGCGTCGTTCTTTTCCCGTCTTCGTTCGTCTGAAACTGCGAATAAGCTGGCTAGGAAACGAACTGGACGTGTAGATATGAACAAAGACACAATGTTGCTCGTTCAATGACGATTGATTCGATCGTTAGAAGAAAGAAAGAGAAAAACACATATGCGCGTGTGATCGTTCGTTCGCCTGCTATAGCTACTGTACAAACAAAATGATGCTGACTCGTTCGTTTCTTTTTCTCTTCGATGTGATGGAGAACGTCGTTGCGCCGAACGTTGAAAATTTGCCGTTTTCGTTCGCTCATCGAACGAAAGAGAGAAAAGGAAAAGAGAAAAGTTTGTTCAACGATTCGTTGCTTGTGCAAACAGCTGGCGATCGACGTAGCGCCATGCTTTGATCTTACTGTCTCGCATTATTTTCGAGCGTGAACATTTTTTTCCTCGCCACCCCTTGTGGTCATCAGTCGTATTAAATGGAAAAGAAGTGTGACATATCAAAACAAAAAAATATAAAGCAGACACTATCATTAGAGAAAGGCATAGACAAACAAAAGCACTTGACTCGGACGATGTTTTTCTTCGGATGAAAGTATTTCGGTTTTTTCTAGTTGAAGAGATGTGTTACGTGTCAACAAGGAGTTCATATATCCGTTTTAGAAGTATGAATTAGCATATAGATTCGATTTCTTTTCCTTCTCTATTCAAACTCAAAGAATTTCTCGTCGTCATTTGAAGAATGTGTGACTAAATTTCTATGCAAGTGAATACTTAATGATCAACATGAAAGTTTGTTCTTCTTCATTGCTAATCATTCACATAAGTTTTCATGCGTTGAGTTTGGCTTGAAGCAAGATGCTTATCGAAAGCATTCATTAGTTGTACTCGTACCTTGATATTCACTTTGTATAAAAGGAAATATGTTCTCTTAGGGCACAAACAACCATCATTAGAAAGAGAAGAGTGAATATGAAATAACGATGCTCATCTTATTGAGTCATATATATCGATATGTAGACGAAAATGAATGACTAAATCGTTTGTCTAATGAAAGCAAATGATTTTCTCTACAATGTTTGGTGAACTAAATTTATTATGTGGTTCTTTTTCCTTTTGTTTTAAAACCAAAACATAAACTGATGGACAGATGACTAAAAGAAAAGGGTTTGTAAGAAAAATAGCACAGAGGTAGCTCTAGGATGATACAAAGTAAGAAAGAAAGAAAGAAGTAATTCACAATTATTTGTCTTCTTGTTCCAGCTATATAATAGATATCAGAAAATAATTATTAAATAAAACTTGGATCACTTGTTGCATCACCACCATAATCATCGAGAATATTACCGTCAGTGTCGATCGTTTCTATCTTTGTTCCATCGCTTTTATAGACAATTTCGCTCTTTGTTCGTACTTTGCTTGTATCAGCTGGCTCTTCAAGGAATTCATTTAGCGCTTCGGATAATGTTCGATCAGGTCGACAGTTCTATACAAACGAAAATCAGGAATGACTCTTTGCAAGAGAAATGTATTGAACAAACTTTGGGTTTCTCGCGATGAGTATTTACAGCATCAATATTTAATGGGATACATTCCATTAAACAACCATACGCCATGGGAGTTAATTTAATAACAGTGTGTAACGGCACTTTTGTATATGGAAGATCCTCTGAAACGATTTGAATAGATTCACATAGTCAGATAGAAGAATGACTGAATCGTACCAGCATCTTTGTTCAGAAAATAGGCGAGAATGCACCGTGCAACTGCTTGATGACAAACAACGAGAACATTCTCAGCGCGTTCGAGTTCCATGATAACAGGCTCGAGCCGGGCAACCAGATCTTGATAAGACTGAAATTTCAAAGATTTATCCGCTTACTCCTCTCAGTTTTTGCCAAGGTACGGTACCTCTCCGCCTGGATATCGGTAATAGTATTTGCCTTGATCACGTGCAGAAAATTCCTCCGGGAACTTTTGTGCTATTTCCATATATGTCAAACCTTCACATATACCCTGGAAATTAGATGATTAACAAAGAATCTCTTCCGTCGGACATATCTACCGCATTGATTTCGTTCAGAGCTTTCCATTGTTCTTTCGGTGCCTCGATATTTGCTGCTGTCTGAATCGTTCTTTGCATCTGACTTGTCCAAACAATGAGATCAGGAATATTTTCTATTAGACAATAAAAACAGACTTCTTCCAGTTGTGTTCTATAAAACTCACCACTGGCCATGTATTCTGCGAGTGCATCAGCATACTAAAAGGAAAATTTTGAATATTTCAGACGAAAGACTTTCGGTGACCATCTACGCATACCGATTTTCCTTGCGGCGATAATGGTGAATCCCCTCCGATGCGTTGTTGAACATTCAGCTCCGATTCACCATGCTGAAAAAGGAAAAAGATTATAGTCTAGAACATCATTTCGATTTACTCGTGTTAAATAAATTGTGCGTGGTGTCACATGAATATTCATGAGAAAGTAAACAACTCGACTTTGAATATGCCCTAGATCGAATAGAGAGTTCGCTTGATTTTCCAAGAGTATGAACGAACTTACCAGCAATTTTATGAACGAGAAAACGTTCGCCGCAATTGAAGATTTTGATAAAAGAGAAATTTCTTTCGTCGGTTTTATCATCAATTGGTTCGTAGCGTTTTTCATATTGCTGAATACGCAAAAGAAAGTCTGCAACAGCTTCTTCCTGCGAAAGATCTTTATAGTCCGGACTCTTCAATTTCACTTCCTATGAATAAAACGAAACTTCCTTTCTTCATTCGCTTTTCTTCTTCCTACACACTTTGATGTTCGCCTCAATGATTTCTTGTGAATCACAGATTGATTCAACAAAAAATACACGAAAACTGTGTGTCTGCGTACAATAGTTGTGAATGAATCGACGCCGTTCGCGTGAAATATTCGTTGCATCGAATATAGCTACTTCGCCATCTTCAGACAGATACTGACAAGCATCGTCGAGAGCTTGTTGAATACATTGACTAAATCCCAACATTCTCTTTTTAACATTCAATCGAAAAATTTGCATACTTCAAGATCGCGACCGCTTCGGCATTATCCGGATCGAAAAAGTCTTTGTATGCATGTTCTGTTACAGCACGTCGATATTCACCGACATTGAACACTAGAAGACGACAGCAAGATTATCGGACGTGTACTTAAAACTCGTTAGACTTTACTCTCGTATTAAATGCTACAGTAAATGTTAATACTTATGACCTTTCTTCGATTTCGAACAAGTCATTTCGTATTCATATTCAAATCAGTCATCCTTGTTTGAAAGTTGGAGAAAAGAAATCGTATCTCGTACCTTTTGTTTTGATTCCAATCCAATGAAGATAACGAGCCAATTTACGTGAAATGTATGTCTTTGTTTGACGAAAAAACACGATAACATTTCGACATCACTTAGGAAATCTTACTTTGCCTCGAGCCGGCAAGCCAGCCATGGCCTGAAACATAAAAAACAAGAGACGTACATGATCAGGGAATAATAATTTTACGTACAATGATTGTTGGCGTTCGAACAAGTCGATCTCGGCATGCTAAAATAGAAAAATAGCTTTCGTTCTTTGTTTTTGACTAGACAGAATTTTCTATTCAAAGAAAAATGACATCGAACATCGGTATTTACCTTCATTGGGTTCTTTCTGACACATCAACGGACTATCCATCTCAACAAACGAGCGGCGTTTCCGCCAAGCATTGAAATCGACTTTCACATTATTTTTCTTCACATCTGTTACAGATCCTTCTTGATCACTTTTAGCCGACCGACCCGACATCTCGAAAGATTGTTGTTTTTTTTTTCAGGAAGATAAAAACAAGAAATGAATGTGCTATGCAATATGTCTCGTACTCAATGACAATCGAATACTTGTTTTGAAACGAGAGAAAAAGAAGAGGCGAGATTCTGATGGCCTTATTCTTTTTTCATTCCTGTATAGAAGTGAAAAGAAACAGTTTTCGTTCGGTATGAAGAGTATCATGTACTGAATAATTACATTAACAACAAACTGAATTTGCACGATGAAATTGTTTTCTTCGTAATTAAAACAAGACGAACGAGTGAAGTATTAGTCTGTACACTACAATCTTAGAATGTAGTTATTTGTGTGTGTGTGTGTGTGCGTATGCACATCAGAAAAGGCATAGTGTGCTATGTCGACAAAGCAGAAGCTGAAGAACGCTATAAAATACTTGTCACATGATTACCTATGTAAGGAGGAGATGAAGAACGTGATGATTTAGGTTAATTAGAGACGTCGTAATAGCAGAAACTAAAATGCTGAGCAAAAGAATATTACCTATCAGTGAACTTTACTTCCTTGCCTAGAATGGGAGATGAAAAACAAGTCGACAAGTCATCGAGATAGAAATCAGATAGATGATAATCAATTTGAGATAAAAATCGAATCGAGACATTTACCTTTGGAGGGTATTGGTACATTTTCATATGTTATTGGACGATCCACGTGCACCGATGATGGTGAAATGAGATTAGCCGGGCTAGAACAATTACAGACATATGCGTATTCATTCCAAAATGATCTCATCATATAATTTCCAATATATCTCGGCCAACAAGCACAAAATCTGCCGATACGAACTATTCTTTATTCGATAAGCCTTTACTCGTCTCAATTCGAATCGAAAGACATCCTTTAATGACACAAACTGATATCATACATTCATTTTCAGACGAGCAATCACACACACAAGACTAGCATGATATTTTCGGTGATATAAACATACATTGCATACGTAGTGAATGAAAAGCATGATATACTTACTTCATTGTTGTCTTATTTTTGTTGTTGTTCGTTTGTTTACAATACAAAATCAAAATCTGAATTGAAGACAACCGTTGGTTTTTTTCTATGTCATATCTTTCGATATTTTTTCTCGGTAAAAAGGAATGAAAAAATATGTATTGTGAGAGTATTTATTTTTTTTCTGCTCGTAATGATTGACATGTATATAGTTTATTTACATACGTTGGTGGTGCGAAAAGAAAAGACAAAAAATAGATTTCTATGTATGTGTATATATATATGTAAACACATATATATTTGATATTAAGAAGACGTATTGAAAGAATATTAACGCAGAATGATAGAAGCAAAGATCACACTAGTTGGGTTTTTAGTTTGATAAGTTAGTACATAACAATTCACGCTGGCACTGTTCTTGAATATGTGCATGTGAAGAAAGAGGGCGAGGAAAACAACCGAAACGAACCATTCTCAAATTTTGATATGCATTAAATGGGATTCACTACTTGTTCCCGATGAAGTCTTTTTAAACGAGGTGGATTGCGGGATATCATCAGTGGTGGATGTGTTATATTGCTGAGCGAGATCTTTTGCCAGGGCCAGAATTTCTTCATCGTTATGATGAAATTTCGTTTGGATCAGTTCTTTCTGTTGAACAACATCAAATGTAACCAAATATACTAAAGAAGAAAACATCGATGATGTCTTAGAAGTACGGTCATTCGCACTCCTATTTACACGCCACCAGTAAGATTTCATCTACTCTCGAACTACTTCGTACGCATAGGAGGTCAACGTGTCGTGTGTACAATCGACGTAGACTAACTTACCAGGATCGTAGTGTAAATTGTCATACAAAAGAAAAACCCGATAGGGAAAATGTCGATCTTCGCCGAAGTAATCAATTCGTCCTCCGCATTCGGTATTAATAACACAAATTTCAATTTCATATTCTTGTGTCAGTATTGCTAGTTCGATACCACCACCCCATGAATCGTCTGCAGCAGAAGAGAATACTAGCAAAGAGAAAGTGAAATGAACACATACCTCTTCGAATCCATTTCGAGTATTCGGAATTTGTTTGGCCGAGCATGGCTTCTGAATAGGTGATGTGATCCGATTCGATTTTATTCGCCACTAAATTTCGTAGATATTTATTGGATTCTAAATCTAATTTTCCTGAATGTAGAACAAAGTAAATCGATGAAAATAAACAACTATGATCAGCCGGCACAGCAAATCGTATAAGTTGACCGATGAGAGACTTCTTTGTTGATAAATTATTGGTTGTCTTCGCCGGAATAGAACTTGACGTCAACGAATCCGATGTATGTACCGATGATGCTGTCGGATGAAAGTAGTCCGACTTATCAAAAGCACTGGCCGTGTGATTATCATTAGTTGAGATTTCATCATTATCTTGTTGTTGACAAAGAATAAGTTCACTTAAATCAATGTACAATTCTTCGTCACTCGACAAACCGTACTTGTCAAGTGTAACAGACACATCATAGTGTGCGCTATTGAAACTATTGTTCATCGGATAGAGTAATGAGCAGCCATTAGGTCCATTGCGATAAATAGAAATATGGAGTAACTGATCTACTGTTAAATGCAAGTCTTGCGCAATTTGTTTTAATAAGTCAAGAATACGGTATCGAGCAGCGATTTGCATACGATGAAATTTATTTGGTTTTAAACAAATAAGAATTCGTAATAAGGGACCAGCCATGGATAGATTCAGTCAATGATTTATTCAAGATATCTGCAAGAAAACGATTGATTTCTATTTATTTCTGTATTCACGTGCCTATTTGTACTGAAACACGACGTTTGTTGTTTATTATTTGATCGATTGCCATACTGATTGTCATTAGTCCTTATTAGCCAGTCAGATTTGACTTATTGGCCGCTGTCAATGCCAGAGAATACTCCTAAATCGATGCACAGTCATCTTTGGTGCACAATAAACATATTGACAATCTTTTACTCATAAAAATATTATATTCGGATTCGGCTAACGAGAGAGGACGCCACAGTCACACTAATATGGTCCGAGTCGAAAGCTTAAATAGAATCGACTATTCTTCGCTTCTACAATCCGCTCATATGTTTCTACAAGCATGATCTTTACAATAGTTTATATTATCCACATCGTCAACCAACAAACATGACTGTTGGATATTGTATAAACATAATTAGTTAAATTTCATCCGATATACTCACAAAACAACATTTCTTTTCAATTGAACTTCTCATTTCGAACAAAGACATTATTCATTGACATGATCGTGTGCGATCTAATGTATTATTTATACATGATTAGTTCTTCTCGAAGGATTGGATATAACTACAAAAAAATTAACTTAACCTTGCCTCGACAATTCAGTGTAACATTAATGACCTTTCATCAATAGTACATTAGTTTGTATGAAGTATATGTCATAGAATAGAATTTACCATTGAAAAACCTTGGATGATTTAATCTGATCGCTCGTATTGACAAAAACTCGGTTAGATGACATTCGGAGTCTTTATTCAATAGAAATTTTGATGAATAATCGATGAAAAAGTTGAGTTGTCAAATTCATTCGAAGGAAATTTATCAAAATGAAAACAACAATGACTACGTGTTACGATCTGATATATCTATACAAAGTGCATTTCAATCGATCATTGTACATATGAAATCTTGAAAATAATACACATACACAAAGGAAGAATTTCATAAAAAAATAGAAACGTTTACATGGATTCTTTTACTGTCTATGTATGGAATCTTGAAAGATTAAACGAACGAACGGTTTCGTTTCCGATAGTGCTATTGAACAAAATGGACATATGGATTTCAAACCTTTTGTTCCTGAAAGAAAGCAAAGCAATCTGTAAAAACAAGAAACGTTCACGCTAATCGCCTTACCATAAGGCACTTTGATCTTTGACCAATACAATGCTGTGGATTGAGAAGTCATATGTCCGCAGGGTTGAAAAGCATAGGATGTGGTTGATTCATTATCTGTATCTGGTATAACATAAAATGCAGATTCAATGCCGGGAATAATGGGGATGAGTGGACCAATTGTTCGACAAAGTGGACATTCTCGAGATTCTTTATTGTCATTTCTTACGCCCCATTTGTGATTTCCATGAACATGTCCGCATGAAACATACACAAATGCATTCGGAGATGATGATGAAGTTGTCGAAGATAATGGATGAGTTTTGATAATTAACGTGTTCAATCCAACAGGACATTGTGGCTTTTTCGAGTTCAACTGATCTAATTCAAGTTCAAGTAAACGACGGGTCTAAAAATAAATTGAATTGAATATTCGAGGAAGATTATTCAGGTCAAGAATATTTACCGGTGTCTTTTTAAGTCCTTCAACCGATCTCCAAAGCAGAGTAGCACCACATAAATCAATCAGACTACCATCATTTAAAATATTATCCGTTGTCGATGGAGGCTAAAGCGAAAAAAATCAACTCTTCTATCTTCAATGATATATCTATCGATAAATTTACTGTTAATTGATAGTTAAATTTTAGTCGTCCTTCCCCTAAATCGAAAACACTTCCACAGACTGATACTTCTTTCCATTTGCTTGGTTTTGAATTCGTATCAAATTGATCTCCATCGAGATGCATCACTAGAATACCATTCGTTGTCACACCATCCATTTCATTCTGATCATTCTTCCATTTGATAGATTTCTCCTATTAGATCGAATATCAAGTAAAACTAAACATTCTGAAAAACAAAATCACATACGCCAAGAAAGATATTTTTCGACGCATCGAAGCCGGCAGCGTAAATTCGCGCTGTATATGGTGGATGCCGTGAAACAACAATACGACACGCATATCGTGAAATAGTCGACTGGGGTACGGTTAAATCATCGAATGTTTTCGCTCCAGCAACAGTATCCATAACAATACAATCGATTTGATTTTCAGATGATCGGCCGATCTAAAAGCAAGTTTACAAGATGCTTCCGAATAATACCACAAAAAAGATTTTCACTCACCTGAAACATATCAGAATCTTCATCGTGAGAATATTGTACAACGACAGTTTGATTTCGTGACAACGTATACGATATCGAATGAAAATCAGCTTGGGTCAATTTCTAAAAAAGGAACACGACAGTGTAATACATCTGGTACAGACATCTTCGACATCATAGTTGCATTTGAATAAGGAGTATGTATGAATCCGCTTATTTACACGAAGCCTATTGCTCTTTGATAGTTTCACACGCAATATGTGTACAATCAATCCACACTCGTCTAACATTCAATCAATATCGATTACACACACATGATTGCATCACCATCGTCCCTCTTATTCCTTTCTGCCTATCACCATAACCTCAAGCTATTTGAAGTCAAAGATATTATTACTTTTCTTTTCAAAATCAATACTACTGTGTTTTTTTTTTCGATTACCTGTACTTCATCAGCATTTTTACAAAGATGTTGTCGTTGCGCTTTCAAACCATTGGCATGCGAACGTTGTCTTAATTGAAATTTACTTTTTCGTCTCCCACGATCACCTCCAGGAATCTGTCCATTGTATCTAAGAAAATAAAATTCAATAAATATATGCATAAGTACGTTTGAAGATAGACATAATAACCCGATCTGAAGGTCTGTCATATGATAGTCTCTATTTTCTATTCACTACTAGCCTTGAATGTATATGATCATGCTTATTGTTATCGAACGATTAGACAGATTGTTCAAGGCCAGTCAATTAGTTTGACATCTTTTGTGAAAGAAAACGTTCAGACGAAAAGATGGACTTTAAGTGTTCAACTCATGATAAACAATCATTCTCTCACTCTTTATCTCTAGATAGTTGATAAATATTGACCGTACAATCGATTGGACTCTCCTATTAACAAATTCTGTTCAACTGGAAAGAATTTTGCACAATAATTTCAATGAAAAATTCTTTGTAGCATACCCAAGAATAACTAATTCACCATAGTTGATTTGTTGTGGAGACGGTTCTTCGTTTGTGTTAATGTCCGGCATTGCATATGATGTGGACAAAGCAAAACAAAACAAAAAGTGCACTCCGATAGACAGCGAACAATTCTTAGGTATAATAGTAGTAGTCCTGTGATAGAAAAGGAAAAAAAATAGTGGTCGAATGATTCGTTTTATACGAAGAGAAAGGGACTATATTCTTCTTCTTCGTCCTCTTTTTTTTCCTCTGTCTACTGCTGATGCTACTCGACGAACGAGCGAGCGAGCAAGAGGGCATATGTATGTGAGGTTATACAGCATAGATGTATATTCAAAAAGCAAGTAAAGAACAAAAAATGAAGTCTCCCCTTTCGCCATCGACGACGACGATAGAAAGAAAAAAAGAAGAAGAAGAATTGTACGTTTGTCATTCTATATATAATTAGAAATGAACACGAAAAGTGATGATGAACATATGGAAAAAGTTCTCGCCTTTAGTTTTTTGTTTAAATTCAATTTTCTCTTCGTACAATGTTTTCATACAGCAAGCCAAAAGAAAATCACGATTTGTACATGCTCTGATGATAAACAATTAGATCTTTCTTATTTAAGATTTTCAAACGATCATCAAATGTATTTCAAAGGACAAATACTATTTAGCCCATTATACCTCATACCTATTCGTTTCGGTTAGTTAGTTGCACGCATACGGTATGTAGGTGTAATTATAGAAAGTGATTCATGAACAATATGCTTGCTATCATGCTGACGCATTTGCATACCTATCTACATATATATACGTACATATACAGTTGTTTTGTCATTGTTGTTTTATTTTCATCATAACAAACTAAAAGCACAAGCAAAAATGCAAGTTGCGACGTTTGCCGGTGGTTGTTTTTGGCGTATGCAATCGATCTTTTCTCGAGTTCCTGGTGTCGTAGGAACTGTTGTTGGTTATGCCGGTGGTCATGTAGCTAATCCCACCTACCATCAAGTTCGTTCGGGAACGACAGGCCATGCCGAAACAGTTCAAGTCACATACGATCCCAACTACGTTTCGTACGCTACTCTACTGCAAACTTTCTTTTCAAGCCATGATTCGTCGCAACTTAATCGACAAGGTAACGACGTCGGTACAAATTATCGATCACTGATTTTCTATCACGATGGAAGCCAAGCACAACAAGCTATAGATTATATCAATTATTTAAGGAGCACGGGAGTACCGGTTGTGACACAAGTTATACCCTATCAAGCATTTTATCCAGCCGAATCGTACCATCAATTTTTTGAAGCACGTCAGCATTTGTACCAACGCACTTATTAACACTAGTTTCGATTTTTTAAATAAAATTTTTTTCTTCAATAATCATTCGTAGCTAATCATATATGAACATTTCTCTTGATATATAAAGATGTAATAGTACGGAATAATAATCATCATCTCCTTCTATTATACATGCATTCCGCTGTGTACGATGAACAGATTATATATTCTTCTCGTAAGAACATGCGTTATCATTAGAATTTCAGTGCGTACAAAATCAATCGTGTATTCATTGACCTTGAGTTTTGGACAAAGCTAAAACACCTCAAGATAGTTAGAATGACCTAGTTTGCCAATCATATAAGTAAACGGTTGGAGAAGTCTCGATCGATCTCGAACGAAAGATAAATTGTAAGCAAAAAGATAAGACGTTGTTACGAGATAATAATTACATCGATTATCCAACATGTTTATTCGACTTTGTAATGGTGTTATTGATTTCTGTTTCTGCTTTAATGCTCGAAATGATCATTGGTAGATTCTTTTGTGTTTTTCTTCTGCTTCAATCAAACTGATCAGCTTTGTTTCGACCTTCAGGTAATAACAATTAATCGACAATACCTATTTACAAATGTTTTCGGTCACTCCCATTGGTTGTCACGAAGAGAACTAGTTCTCAAAGAACGCATCGTTGCTAATTATTTCAACTCATTTTCATTTCGAATGACACAACTGAACCTTTCATTATCCAAATTAATAAATATCTACTCAACGCATTCTACTTTATACTTTGTCTGTTAACACATTTAAAGAATCGCAGACATTTAAGAATGTTTTTCTCTACAGAAAAATCATAATACCACATCACAACAATATACAAAGAGTTCCAACCGAAAAAAGAAGAAGTTACAGATAAAATATTAGGCATTTTTGTCTCTTCTTGGATAATAATAATCAGATATAGAAAAAGCGTCGCTTTTTTTTCCCTTTGTATTTCTGTTGTCCTCGCGTATGGCCTTATCATCCATACTAATACGATTCCTCAATCATACCTCAGAACAGAAGAACATCAATTGGGAAAATGTTAGTCTTGTGTTAAGCACATATATTGCCATCATCGTTGTTGTTCGAAGACGTAAATATTTTTAGATCCTCTCCGCCTTCGCTTACAATCACAATTTTGTCTAATCTCGTACAGAAAGAGAAGAAGGAGAGGAAGAACTAACAAAATCAAACAAAGGAGAGAGAGAGAAAAAAATACTATCGTCGAACTATCTATATGCTCATTATCAATAGGCATATGGATGACGAATAAATATCTGAAGAAAAGCAAAAGAAGCTAAATCTATCTATTTCTTGCATACACGCATTCATACATGTATACAAATCTATACGTAACTAGTAGAACCGCATTTTCCCTCTCTCTCTCTCTCTGCCGTTGCCATCTCTTTATCCAATCGCAAAAAGGAATATGTGTCGAAGATCGAGAGAGTACCTTCTCTGTCTTCTATCTATCGAAGATTTATTGTTGCTGTTGTTTTCATTCGCAATATGGACATGTATTTTTCTTCTCTAAGGCTGTTAGCTAACCTAGACACAATTATTTCCGTCTTCGTCTTCGAATAACATTCTTATTATCTATATCATTCAGTGATCGTATTATTAACCTTGAATCGGATTTTTCAGATTTCTTGTATTCGTCTAATTTTCTTGAACGAAAAGTTTCGAACCGGTCAAAATGTCATCCAATGCAAATACAACAGCCACGATGGATTCCATCAAAAAGAAAATGCAATCGATGAAACTCGAAAAAGAGAATGCGGTTGATCGTGCTGAACAAGCCGAACAAAAACAAAAAGATCTCGAAGAAAAACTTAAAGCCGTATGTGACATTGACTGTTCCGTACAAAAAATTCATATTCATTTCGTTTGTTTTAGTCAGAAGAAGAAAGCAACAGTTTACAGAAAAAGATCCAACAAATCGAAGCAGAACTTGATGCTGCTCAAGAACAATTAGGTGAAGCTAATGGCAAATTAGAAGCCAAAGAAAAAGCTGCTACCGATGTAAGTCTTCCATTTGTGTCCTACTTTCAAGTATCTACTAGCCGATCGATCGCGACTGATACCAAGGACATGCGATACCGATCAGTTGAGTCATTTGCTCCTCGCATCTCTGAAAAGTTATACCATTCCACAGTTACTCGTACCAGTATCGTTTCCGAGAGACAAACTACTGCATCACAAAACGGTTGCCCATTCCTAACGGAATACTTCACATTCTTTCTTCATTGCAGTTACCTTTCCGAAAATGACGAAATGAATTCTAACTAGGTGGCGCAGACAGCTCTGTAGTGGTCAAGAAGTAACCAATGCTTATGACATCTATATGAATCACCGATGCGGAGGCGTTGTGAGCATGACGTATGGTAAATCAAGAGTAGGATTGAGTTTTGTAACTCACACACGCACATACATAATCACAGTATAAAAAATAAAAAGAAAACATGTCAGCCAACTTAAACAATGGTACTTTACGATCGTTGCATCGCGCACCTCAGCAAAGTCCGAGTTCTTCATCAACGAGCGAGTCAGGCAATTCAGTGATTGACACTATTCGAAAACGTATGCAACAAATAAAAGATGAATTGGCTAAGTCGCAAGATGATTTGCATGCTTATCAGATTGAACGTGAACGTGAAAAGCATGCACGAGAACAAGTGTGCTACGTCTACGATTAACAAAAGCACGCTTTGTTTTTCATGTGTTTGTTTAGGCTGAAGGAGAAATAGGTGGTCTTCAACGTCGTATTCAATTAGTCGAAGAAGATCTGGAACGTACAGAAGAACGTCTAACACAAGCAACACAGAAACTCGACGAAGCTTCGCATGCTGCTGACGAAAGTGAACGGTAAGTATGAAAACTGCTCATCGACGAAATATTGATCTTCTTCATAGAATAATTAGTCATTTGCTAACTTATAAATCGAAACTAAACAAATGAACGAAAAAGAAACACTTAAATCTTTTAGAAAACGTCTTATTCTCGATGGCAAAGTATCTGGCTTTGGAGACAGATACGAAACACTTGAACAGCTACTCAAAGAGGCAAAACAATTGGGTCATCTGAATGAGAGAAAATACGAAGAGGTAGACAAGTAGAAAAATGATTTAACTAACCGAATTACTAATATTTGATTGCTGATTTTACTAATCTTGCACATACATACGATTTTCTTTTATTTCTGTCTTTTGCTATTGAGTGAGAAATAAGGTCTAATCTGTTCTTTGCTTGCTTTGTTCTAACTTCTATTTATGTTTATTTTTTTTCTTCTTTCAATTCCAAGTGGTCGCAAAGGTCTTGAACAACGTACTTTTCAAGATGACGAACGTATTGCCACACTTGAACAGCAATTGGCCGAAGCACAACTTATAGCTGAGGATTCCGATCGAAAATATGACGAGGTGATTAAGAACTTCCTCTTGATGATAACGAGAGACTATTCTTGAGACTATGAGAAAACTAAATTGAGTCCTTTTCCATGTGAGTCCAGGTTGCTCGTCGTATTGCCATTATGGAAGTCGATTTGGAACGTGCTGAAGATCGTGCTGAAGCTGCTGAAGCGTAAGAATGTCTGCGTGTCTTCTTCGAACCTTTCGCACGATGATTTCTTTGCTCTACTAATCCATAGTTTTTCGTTTTTCATGCATGTGATTTGCAGTGATAAAGTTTTGGTTTGATTTTTCAGGTCGCACGAAAATTGAAAGTGCGAGAAAGTGAATTGGAAAGAATCGATGATCGCGCCCAGAGAACCGAAGCGTATGCATGACAAGCATTCGATTTTCTTACCTGCATGTGTTTGTGTCTTTCGTTTTTGTTTTGTCTTGTAGTAAAATAGCACAATATGAACAAGATTGGAAGCATTTGCATTATGAATTACGCTCGAAAGAAATCTTTTTAACTAAGGTAAAATGATGATCTCATTTGAACACTTTGTTTAGGAAAACTCTTGAACTTGAAGAAGAACTCAAAGTTGTCGGTAACAATATGAAATCACTTGAAAACTCTGAACAAGAGGTAGTTGACTGAGAATGTTATATGGCAACCGATTTGACTTCAAATGAATGATCTCCCCAACCTTTTGCTTGGTTTTACATTTCCACATGAAATCATCGGAGATTGACTTTTTTCTATATTTCTTACTTTAGGCTATCCAACGTGAGGAAAGTTATGAAGAACAAATTCGTGATTTGACAACACGTCTTAAAGATGTAAGTATCGATAGGAAAGAGTCTCTTTTTTCGAAACAAAAAAAGAAACCAAATGAAAACTTGCATGAGTGTGCAAAGAAACGACATCATTCTATCAATCATATGAGTATAGGCTGAACAACGTGCTGATCTTGCTGAACGTACAATGGCCAAATTACAAAAGGAGGTCGATCGCCTCGAAGGTAATATTAGATAAACATTTCTCTATATATTGCACATCTGGTCTGGTAGTTTTGCATGGTTTTTGATCTTCTATATTTATTCTCTCTATATATGGCTGCATGTAACTTAGTTCTGTATGTATATATCTAGACCGAAGACAAAGCTGAGAACAGTGAACGTACAATGTGCGTCTTACAGAGACGAATAAATCAATTGAAAGGTATTATTTTCTAATCTGCCATGTTTATCAGATAGATTATGACAGTTTGAGATACATATGTCTACCAGTGAGAACAGTTCGAATTACATTCCAAACATGTCTATACATCTTAAATAAAGGCAATTATTGAGTTGTTAACAGTAAAAATCGAAGGTTAGAAAAACTCGACGATGTTAGTTGGTTCTTTTCTGTTTTGATAAAACTTCGGTGATAACATGTAGAACTTAGTATGATTGAATTAACCTAATCTACTAATAAACATGCATGTTTTTATCCTTGTCTTGATTTTGACCTGCATCCGTGTGTTTCAGGTGAGATAACATCCGAGAATGTACGCAGCAAAAGTTTGCAATGTGAAATGGATTCGATGATCAACGATCTTCAGAATGTGCTTTGATACGTGTTGTTGTGTTGTTGCTGTGTATATGTTACGAATATTCCAGTTTTTCTCTTGATTTGTTCGTCTTACAATTATTATCCTTACCATTATTATTCTTATCATTGTTTTGTATGTGTAAATTTATTGATCAATATTTTTAATCGTAAGCGAATGTTCGCATTTTCACCCGCTTCCTTCCCGTATGAAAATATGCTAATGTATCATTTATTTCCATAGACGAATTACTTGCCGAAAAAGAGAAGTACAAGGGTGTCAGCGACGAACTCGATATGACATTAAACGAATTGTCGGGTTATTAATCAATGATATAAAACTATTTTGGTGGTGGCGACAACAACAACAGCAGCAACTAGCAATTTTTTTTTCTACATGTTTTTCCTGTTTTGTCTATTATACCTATATAACCTTTCTGTGAATTTTCATGTGCGCGACAGTGCCCGGGGGACACAAAGTTGCTTTCTTTCTTTTTTTATTCAACTACCGTAACCAAACAATGGTTCTTTGTTTTTCTTTCTAATTAGATCATGCACACTTATACACATTTTTTCATCTTTTCTCTTGAAATTTATCATATTATGTCTCTCTAACTAGTTCAGTCTTCTTCTTCTTTTTCTTTTCATTCTTCAAACTATTTCAAATCGTACAAATAAAAGACAAGCATCAAAACCCTGACAATTATTCATGTCGCCAGTAAAAGTCAACTTCGATGATGTAAGCACACAAAAGAACAAAGATAAACACGATCTTACTTGACTTTGATAAGACAATAGTGTACGCAGGAATTTACGATTACACACTGAGACAGATACTTCGAAAGGATGTATGCAAATCTTGAACAGCAATTAGAAACTATCGAACGAAATAGTATAGGATGGAAGTCATTAACTTTCTACGATCGATCGTTATTACAACAATTAAGTACATGTCTACAATCGTGCTTAGCAATCACACCGGAAGATTCGTTTTTGAATCTGGTTATGAATCAACGTACACAAGTTTTTGACATGTTCGAATGCATATCTACACATTTATTCAAACAATGGAACCATCACAAACGTTCATTAGTCAATGAACAGATGAATTACTTGACGCTCGTAGGAAAATTCAATCGACGAATAGCATTGACCTTGCAAAACGATAATGATGATCCTTATAGTAATGAAGATGATGACGAACAAAAGAACAGCAATCTTGAACAGCAAAAACGTGTTCGAGAGTTGTTATTTGATAATAATAATGATCTATTTGTTCTACTTGTGGATATGTTGCCACGAATAAGTGAACATGATTTCGATTTCATCGATATGATTCTACCATGGTACGAATCTTACATATTTTTCGAGCATAGTTATATCGATTCGACATTAGATGACAAGTTTCTTAGTTTTAACCAACAAATTATTCAATGTTTGAAGTCCAACGAATACGAACGAAGTTTACTAATATTCGAACATGATCAAACGCTGATAACAACTGTTCGTCATCGATTTTATTTAGGCATATGCACAATGGCGATGGGTGTTCACGTTAATTGTGACGATAACGAATGTGATGACGCAAAAAACCTATTAGAGTCGTATCTGTCACGTTATATTACATTTATACATCATCTTCTTCAAGATGATCAAATCAATTCATTGAATAATTTAATTTGTATAACGGGTATTATATCATATTTAGTTAATTATACACTAATTATCGAGAATGATACTAACCGGCAGTTTCTGATTGATTTGTTTGTGCTAGTTTTGAATGAAAAGTTCTATGGAAGCATTTTTGCTAATTGGTCAACGTATGAAACGATTCTAATGGATTCAGTGATATGTTATTTGATTATTTATTGTTATGATGATCGTTTATTAGTTGCCGAGATGATTCGAACGGATAAAAATTATGTTAAAAAACTCGAACATTTGATAGATCAGGCTCAAAATGCTGGTAATCGTCGTATAGCAATCATGACACAGTTGTTCCTACTCATTCTAACAAGTTGTACAAAGAATTATGATTTAGCAGAGAAATTCTTTCTCTTGTGTTTAACATATATTCAAATGTCATTGGATAATACACAGTCGTACCATTATAATCGCATACCGATGAGTTTATTTTTCAAAAGTATTTTACATATTATGAAGTACGAACCGATTCAAGAGATCATTGCTCAACACTATCTGAATTTATTCACGGATATTCTTATTAATTATGAAAAGAAGTGTTTACATGAAAACATTATTTATCGTGAGTGTGCGATGATTGCATGTACGATCCTATGGTCATTGTCGTTCAATGAAAACATTCGAAAACAGTTGAAGCATTGTGATAAAGACTTCTTCGATGTTTTACAAGCGATTAACACGAATACAAATGAATCGACGGTGAAACAAGCGACATGTGGGTTACTCTACAATCTAAATCGATTAGTTTTTGATCGAGTAAGTTCACATAATTTAGTTTTAGATGTACAGTATGCTCAGCTGAATCGTATTTCACATTATCAATCCCGTAGGGATTGCGCACTAATCGCTTTTTTACATAGAATTCTTCGACAGCAAATGATAATTTCGGGAAGACAATCGGAATCAGTTATGATTCGTCTGATCAAGCAACCGTCGTAATGATCGAACAGGAACTAAATAAAAGTGGCTATCGTGTATGGACAAATTATGATCATATGGACGATCAATTCGTTCCCACATTTGTCTCACTGATGACCAGTACACAATATTTAATTGTTTGCCTTAGTGATATGTATCGAATGAATAATCGTTGTCGTACCGAACTTCTCTATGCGACAGCGTCAGGTCATCATGTTCTTTCGTGGAAAGTCCAAATTCCTACGAATGATCCAGAAGAGAACGAGCGCGTTCGCGTTCGTGCTGTTGAGACGTTGCTAAAACGTATTACATCAATTGGCACCACTAGTCAACAGGGTGCAGAACTAGGAGAAGTAGCGATTCATATGGAGAAACACTCGACACCGACGAATTTCAATCGTCGTCGACGAACGAAACAAATCATGAACGTAGAAAACTGGACGAACGCAGAAGTCTTAGCATGGTGCGAACCATTAAACATGCCGGGTTTTTCGAAACTATTCGCACGTTTTGATGGTCAAAGTGTACTTAAACTGTACGAATTCTGCAAACAGAATTCTACTGAAACCGTCGCAGTTTTAAATAACGATTTGCATAACATATGTAAACAAGAGAATGAAGTTGACATTCAAATATCCGTCCATGAATTTATACGTTTTCAAATCGAAGTGGAAAAATTGATCACACCATCGATCATGAGAGGTTCGGCATTATCACTATCGTCATGGAAATCGAGTCTACCGAAAAAACGATTGAAGATTCGCACGTGTTCTATTCTTTAGGAGATTTGCGATTTGTTCCTATAATAAATATTTCTCTCAAGGAAAACTTTGCGACTTGCTCGGAACAAATCATTTCAACGAGTAAACGTTCTTTTGTGTTTTTTTTTTCTTTATTCAATCAGTGAACTTTTCACATACAGTAATAAAAAACGGATCATTTCTGCTTGTCTTTTAACGTCTGACAGAAGTGTCTTTCTCAGTTTTTGACTCGGATGACGAACAAAGAAAACGACAAAAGTAGATAACACACCGGACAGAAATCGAGAACAAATAAAGGAAGATGCTGAATTTTTCTTGTTTGCTTTTTTTTTTCAATAAAAACTTATAATGAGTTAAAGAGAAACCAAGAAGGATAGAAAAAGAAACAACAAGCACTGAATAGAGAGGCAGAAATAAATTGGAGGCAAAAAAAAGACAAGAAAAAATAGGCAGACAAAAAGAATATGTATGTTGATAGTTAGTTGCTTTTTGGTTTTGTACAGTTACACAAGAAAGAAAGAAAAAAAAGAAAAGGAATCTCTAGTGCATACATCGATGTATGTCCAGAATAATATAACAAATCGTTCATTTTAGTTTTTTATAGTTTTAATCGAAACTGCTCAAAAGATAATTAGCCGCCAATTCTTCGTTACGATCACAAGCAAGAAACGCTTCGATAACTCGGTTACGTTCGAAACCCATATCTTGTAACTAGATAAACAGATAACATTGATCAGCTAAAATGAAAATTGTCGGTGACATACTCTGTTTATTGCTTGTTGATCTTGAGGTGATAGTGTAATAGTCACGGTACCAGGTGGACCTTGACCACCAGCAACTCCGGCACCAACACCGCCCTGCGATGCATCATCGTCATCACCTCCATCGTCGCCTTCATCAGCTTGGTTTAATAATTCAAGAAATTCTTGCGGTCGTTGCTCAATCAACTGAAATTAATGATTATATATAGAAGTCTATTCTTTTTACAGCTAAAAGTTTTACTTGAAATAATTCTGGCTGTGTGGCTTGTAATGTTTGCATCAATGTTTGAAGTTGGTCAGGATTTTGTTGAATCAACTGACGAAGCGCTTGAAATTGTGGACTTTGACTTAATTCAACTAGATCGTCTTGAGAGAAAAACAAATTCAAAACAAATAACCGTGAAAAGGGACTCAGGCTGCTGTATGTAATCATTACCTTCACCGCCTCGTCGGCCACCTGTTGAACTTTCTGAACCACTTGGAGTTTGTCCAGATCCACCTTCTGGGTTTGCTGCTGACGGTTCGCTGATGTTAGGAATGTTACCCTAGAAAATATAAACTTGCTCATCTTCAACAGGAGATTTGTTCAATTTACTGTAATCAAATACTCGGCGGCACGTTCCACATGATAAAAACTAGCACGTAGGGCAAGCTCGGCTTGTGCCCGGTCGAAGCCCATATCAGTCAATTCACGTAGAGCTTTTTCTCGTGATTCAGCAGATAAGAATGAATCTTGAGAAGCAGCAGGTGTAGTTCCACTTGCTGGAGCTGGTCGAGTTGGCTGTTGTTGTGGAGCGGCAGGAGCTGGTGTTGGTGTTGCAACAGTAGGTGTACGAGTTTGTGCACTAAAATAATCATTTTTATATGCCAATCGTTGACAATCACAATTCTGAACATACCTCGCAGCTCCCGAAGGATTGCTGGGTGCAGCAGCAGCAGCAGCACTTCCTGCTTGAGGTTTAGTTGGTGCTTGTTTGACAACAACAAGAAAGCTGTCTGAAGTGATTGAATAAAATTCCAATGTTTTCGAATCTTCGAGAATCTTTCCCGAAAAAATCAATTTAACCGCATCAGCCTCATATTTATCCTTGAGATCTTTTGCTGCTATTTTTTCTTTTATTGTTCTTACCTACAAACATAAACGAAACAATGAAATTATGGAAAATGGTTTCGTTTAAGCCATTATTACCGTGTCAGATAGTTCGCATTCAATTGCAAATTTTTCATTTGAAAGAGTCTTTATTTGAAGTTGCATTATTGATAACTACGTTGAAGAGAAAACAGAAATGAAGTAGACAATGTTCTAGAACAGAAGATTATTTATAGATGTTGCTGCATGAATATGTAAAACAAACTTCGATGAATCAGTCTTGTATAGATGAAAAAAAAACAACAACGTATGCATAGATTATGGAACAATCCATGTTTTCTACTTAACATCATATACAGTAGCGACAAATAAATACAAAGTCAGTATTTTTATACGTAGTGGAAAAATTGAACCCAGAGACGATTTAGGATGTTTAAAAATAGATATCTCATAGAATTACAATAGATTTTCGGATGAATTTTATAATTAAATTTCAGACGAATGATGGCGCTATGTCACAGTCTTTTATGTTTATTATCAATAAAGAATTGAATAAGTTACGAACGTGCAAGAACATGGGAGGAATTGATGTCTTATCTCAATACGAAATGAACTCATTATTTCTTGAAAGTAATAAAAACTAAAAGGAATGTAAAAGAAAAACATGTGACACTATCATCTTTTCGATATATTCATTGTCTTTGAACAACTGATGCCAGGTAATAGTTTGAATAAGATGAATGGCCAACTAATTATATATTTTCAACTTGTTTTTACGAATTGTATTCTACTTAAGGATTCGCAATCTATCCATTCATTTAACATTTCAATTTTACGAAAACTTGAATATCTATTTTCAATTACTGATGACCATTTGACTTAACCACATGTATGTATAACTTGAAATTTGAATTCAACATTCAAGTTTGACACTACTGCTAGCAAACTGCATCTCATATTATCCGTATAATCATCAGTGCTCAGCCAGAAATACAGATTAAAACTTCATCACCGAATGGCATCATATGTTCTTTTCACATTGTCTTATTAACGAAACCTCTTGAATACATTCAATCATTGTCGGAGCAATCAATCACAAATCAGAGTTCTAATTGTTCACGTAGTGAAACATCTTCTATTTGAATATCAACACCCTGATCAGAAAGAGAAGTATTTTGTTCTTTTGTGCATTAATGTCATATCCGGTCCACTAGCGGTGAAATCCAGATGAAGAACATATAGAGGTACAAATGGATCAGATTTTCCGTGTAATTACAAATGTCAAACATGCGATAGTCTTTATAAATAAAAGTCCCTGATGAACCTTTAACGTTAATAGGTTAATTGAGTAGAAGTTTCTCTAGAGACTGAGTCACTTTTCCGTTTAGATAAACTTTAACAGCCGGATCAAGATTACTAAGAATAACTAGATTTGATACACCTGTCAAGTCAACCTATAGCCCTCGCTGGAATAAACTATGCACATCAAGCCAATCGAGGAGAGATCATGCGATAAAACCAGCCAATCATCTTTGATCAATGATAAATGCATAAGTGAATGAAACATCTATCAATAATTTCGTGATTCATAGTAAGAGAAATATTTAATGTGAGTTCCTTCAATCGAATCACGTTGAAACATGATCCTAAATAGAATATGAACAAATGTTCTGAAAGAAATTTCACATTTTTCTTCACGGTTGTGATTAATTTAGAGGGTGCCACAATCGCCACGTCTCATTGAAACAAAGACCTTTTATTTTCGACCAATGAAATGCTTACAATACAATCACATTTGATGATGGGTTATTTGAATTGTTGAATGATTGTCTTCTCGTCGTTTTGATGTCGATAGATATGTTAAGTGTTTAGAAGACAAAAAAAGTCGCAAAAAATGAGCGAAGAAAAAGAAGATCCGATATTGGCTGCTCCAAACCCTGTCAAAGATGAATCAATACCAATGGAAACAAATGAAAATGAAAAGCAATCGACTAATACTGATTCGATATCAGATGAAAAAGAGAAAATAACACTCAGTTATGATGAACGACGACTTAGTTTATTAAGTAACCCAACCTACGGTGTTATTCTCGCTTTTTTGGAGAAATTTCGCAGTAATATTGATATTCAAGATTATCCATGGCATTTGCTAGAAGAAAATCTTTTAAATGACCAAGAGAGCGGTAGGAATTATTTGATTTCACTCGCTTTTACCATTTTCCTCTTCGACTTTGTAGTTAGTCGACGTTTAGTTGATTTTCATCTAACTTTATTGAAACGTATATCACTGGGTAAAGGTGCACAACGAGATAAATTCAATGCAATTATTACCAAAGTAAGATGTCGATTATGCTAGATGAAAAAACGTTTGTCTATTTAGTTTGCGTATCGATTTGATCTCGACGATGGTGAATATCTGAAAACGAATGGATATTCCAATGCACAAATTGATATTAAACTCCGTATTTTAAAGGCAAGAATAGAGAGGAATCTTTTCTTATTTGAATAGCTGTATTTAGAACCTACTGGAATCACAATTCGATCACAATCAAGCGTTCAGAACAGCTCTAGGAGAGAAACCATCGTTTGAGGTTCGCTCGCAGCCATTCGGTCGTGATCGTTCTGGTGCATTCTATTGGCTATTTATGGTAAGATAAAGATGCCTTACGTGAATTTGATGGGAAGTTTTGATTTTGTAGGATGCTGAATGTTTTGTAAGATTATTTCGAGAAGATGTCGATGATGATCGAACTTGGACAAGTATTGCCACGTTAGTTGAAGTTTCTGTCAATTTCTTTAGTTAATTTATTTGAATATATGTGTGTCTTTTTAGAGATAAAGATCAGTTAGAAAATTTTATCAAACTTCTCATCACAGATCATGTTGTTCGAAAGAAATTTCCTGGTAAAATCTTCTTTCAAAACGTTCAGTCATTGATTTTTTTGTTTTTACAGAATGGAAATTCGCTCACGAACCATTCAATTCATTGGAATCATCGAATGACTTTCAAGATCGTTACGTGCCAGCTCCCGTCATTGTCAAAGAGGAGGATGTCAAACCTCCCACTCCACCACCAGTATCTCCTGCAGGTAAAGGAAGGCGCACTAGAACGAAACGGATCTATCGTTGTCACTGTTTAGCTCCTCGGATCAAAACTGAAAAAAATGTCCGTGGGAAATCGAAGAAAACCGTTTCTCCTGCGCCTGTAGTAAAAAATGAAGTACACTCTGATCAAGAATCATCAAATTCAGACGATAAAACTGATCGACGATTGCCTGATGAATCAATCGAAGATACCAGTGCAAATGTTGTATCTCAAGAAATCAACAACAATCAAGAAGATGAAGAATTAAAGAGCCCATCGAAGAAAGTACGCAGTCGACGGAAATCTGCGACTTGGAGTAAGAAGAAACGACGAACAATATCTCATACACCGAAGAAAGAGCAGCAACAATCAGAAGTTCTTCCAAACAAATCACCGATAAAAGGAAGAAAACGTAAAGAAATCATCATGGACGAAGACGATGTGCAAGTGGCAAAAAAGAATGATGAAACTAGTCAAGATAAAGATACTATACCAATACTAATGGATGATGATTCAAATTGCAATGATTTACCTATTGCTTTGCGCCGTTCTAGACGCGTTCGAAAACCACCTACGAATGAACTTTCAGCAATTACATCTAGCCCTGCGAAATCCACTTCCCAAGTAAGTCTTCAGTCCAGCAAGAGGCCTCAATTGACTGAACCAATTGTTTCTGTTTAGACTCCAAGTAAAAAGAAGCTAACGAATGGCAGAGGAAAAAACTCTAGTCAAACACCCGTTAAAGTATTCTCTCAATCAGTTAAAAGTAAAAGTAAAAAGCGTGGCAAAGGTCGTCGTCGACGTGGTAAAAAATCATCGGCAAACGGCGCTTCATCATCAAGTGAAGAAGAACAACAAGCATCTGAAGAGGAAGAAGATGAATACAACTCCGATGATTATCTACCAACTAGTAAACAATTAGATGAGCTCGACGATGAGAATCTATTGGAAGAAGAAGATAATGATGACGACGACGAATTCGTTCCTCGTCGTTCAGCGAAAACTGTCGCTAAGCGTCGTGGTCAAATGAATGAAAACAATACTGAAGATCTTCAATCAGGATCAAGTGCATGTTGTGTGTGTGCAAAAACTGATCGACCAGAAGCATTGCTATTATGCGACGATTGTGACGATCCCTACCATTTAGAATGTCTGAAACCCATTCTATTAGCTGTTCCGGAAGGCGATTGGTATTGTCCATTATGCGAACACAAACGTTTTTCTGATAAATTAGTAGAACGATTTATTCAGTTGATCAAAGACTATGAAGAACTAGAAGTCAAACGAAAACAATGTATGTCCAAACGAACAAATCGTTTAGCAAATGTTATGCTAAATCTGGATCGAATGGTCAAACGATCATCGAAAAAACGACGAACAAATGGCATTGTTTATAGTGACGAAGAAAATGAAGACGAAGAAGAAGAAAATAACGACGAGGACAATAAGTCCGAAGAAGAGCAGGAAGAAGAAGAAGAAGAAGAAGAAAATAATGATGACGATGATGACGATAGCGTTTATGGATTTAAAGATGATGGTGGCTTTGATAGAAGAGCAAAACGCAAACAGTCATCAGCATCATCTCGAGGTCGAAAGGATCGTTATCGTGTTGAAGAATCCGAGAAACTCGGAGTTAGATCTTGTCGACGTAAGCCACAAAACTATCGCTTTGATGATTATGATAAAAAGATGAAAGAAGCTATTTTGCAACCTGGTGCAAACGAAGAAGATTTAGATAAAGATTTCGGTAGAGTTGCTCGATACAATTTTCATGAATGAAAAGTTTAACATGATTTTAGATGAGTCAGATGAAGATGACGAGAAGACAACATCGAGACAACATCATGGTCATGAGCAAGACGAAGATTTTGAGACGACTGACCCTAAAAATGACGACGAATTTGCGCCAGAAGAAAACAAGTGAGTGATTTCTTCCAGAAAAAATCATTATCTCGATCGTGTAATCCGAATAGTTCGGATGGTAGTGACAGTGAAGAAGAAGATGATTACAATGACGCTGATGAAACAAGTGATGATGATAATTGGCGAAGTAAACGACGATCATCAACGAGAAAGAAGCCCACTATCAAGTAAAATTCTAAATGATGATACTGTACTTGAAATCAACATTTTCTTCTTGAAATTTAGATCAAATCGTCGTAAATCGAGAAATAAATCTGACGATGACGATGATGATTCACGTATGTTAAGCACGAATGATATGTTGTCACTTTACTGATGAATCCGTTTTGATTTTAGTTTCTGAGTCTGAGTTAAGTCGTTTCCAAACAGCGAAAACAACAACAGACTATGATTTAAACGAAAGTGGAAACGATGATCGACGACGATCGTCGCGAACAACGACACAAAAAAGTTATACTAAACAACAAGACGATAGTAACGATGATGAAGATATGGAAGATCTGTATGAAAACGGTCAACCACCACCCCGACGTATGCGATATAAGAAACGTCGTGGTAGTGATGAATCATTCATTGACGACGATGATGATTACGAGAAGCTTCAACGTAAGCGTAAAATAGTCAAATATGGCAAAGTTGCCTCAAGGTCAAGTATAAACGACCATTTGAAAAACTTTGTCGACGACGGTGAGGAAGAAGAAGAAGAGGAACACGAAGAAGAAGGAAAACAATCAGGTAGGAATTCGAGATTACTGGTTCAATGAATTAAACTTCAATGTTTCCAGCGTCAGCATCACAAGACGGAGTCAAAGACGATACAAATGATGAATCAAAATCAGCAACGAAACCACCGCAGAAGGAATACAATGAACAACAACCATCAGACGATGATGATTTTCCAGACGAACAAGAAATTCTCAAAGCAAATGGCTTCTTAAAACTACAGAAAACTCTTACTGCACCAGTAAGTCACTTCTATCTCCATAAGATTAGACTCATAAAACATTTCTCTTTCTCCGAAGAAGCCTCCTGGTTTTCGACCACCTTTTGGCGCACCTACTCATTCATATCAACATGCAATTGTTGATCCCACAGCACGTTTTGCCATGATTCGTCCACCAGTTCGGCCAACAATGAACAATGGTTATCCATTCAATGGACACGACCCCAATCTAGGCGGCGTACTTCCTCAACCGAGTGAAATCAATGGTCATAATGGTCCCACATCATGACAACTCCTCCAAAGTCAAACTGATCTAGAAAAAGCATCGATACTAAATGATCTTGTCTTTTCTTCTTACTCATTCATGTACAATACTCATTTCCTGTTGTTTATTGTCAAGACTGAATGTGATCGTATGAAACACATTTAGAAAGTAAAACAAAATGTAGTGTTTTTTTTGTCGATATGTATTGTATTATTATTATTATTATTATTATGGGCACATGTGTTGCCTTCAATTAGTTATTCAGTTTGTTGTTGCGCGCATGCTTGTACAATTTCTTTTTTTTCTCTTCTCTTTTGGTCAACAAATCACAGACACGCATATACAATATATACATCCTATGAAACGTCGATGATCTCTGTTTTCTTTCTTTCTTTTTTCAATAATCTTCGTAGTTTTCCTTTCCATTTTCTTGAATAATTCTTATTCTAGATAATGCTGAGACAATAATGAATTATCAAAGAATTTTCTTAGTCTTTATTTTATTTATTATTCATTGTCACGGTGTCAAAGATAAATTTGTTTCCATTACACTTGATGCCAAATGGCTAGATACTCCATTGCATCAAGAAGCAAGGTATTACACAAAAATTTGACTCGACAAACCTGTAATCTTTCATTTCTGCTTTAGTGAATTTCTTGCGACACAGAATAAACAATATTTTTGGTCATTGATCAACGATGTTAGCTCATTTGACTCATTCACACCGGACGCACGTATGATACGAGCGAACATGTCGATTGTTTATATTTATGTTTTTCTTTCTAGTTGGTTCAGCAAAGAATTATCATGACCAACTGCTGTCGTTTAGTAGTCGATATTTAAATACTATAACTAATAACTTATTACGCATGGCACTTGCTCTTCGATCTTACTCACCAGGTGTTCAAATGATGCGTCGAATGGCACATGATACCGGTATGACACGGCAATGTTCAACATTCGTAGATATACATGGTATTTACACGTGTAATGTCGAAGAAGTCGAAACACTAGTTGAATCTGTCGGTGATCGGTAAGTAAATGACGAATCTGATTTCAATGATTTCGGTGTATTCGTATTTAGATCGAAATTTTTATTGCCATTCGATCATCACTTTCCTGGCAAGTCGGATGATGAAAATAAACCGGTTGCAACTGTTGTTCTCTACGGTGATTTTGGTAATCAGAATGAATTTCGATCATTTCACAGTAAACTTTCTTCATTGGCATTGAATGGAAAGATTGATTATGTTCTTCGTCATAACAGCCAGGTAAGTTCGTTGGCAGTTGACAACGAATTCGATGCTCGAACTATTTTAGTCGTCAAACGAAAATCGACGAAAAGTTCGTTTAGCTGGCTATGGAGTCGAACTACAAATTAAAAGTACAGAGTACAAAGCAACAGACGATTCAAAAGTAAGTTTAGATTGGATTTATTCATTGTGAAACAATCGATGCGTATCGTTTTTAGATTCGTGATGATCAAACGAATGTAACTGCTGCTAATGAAGAAAAACAAGAAGAAGCAATTCATGGTTTTATTTTTTCGAAACTCAAAGGTACGAGACGATTTTCATGTACGATCAGTTTATCGCGTGTTTCTAGAACTTCATCCTGAGAAACAAACAGAATTAAATGAATTTCGTACTTATCTTCTTGATGGTTCGGATCCAATGACACCATTGAAAGCATGGCAAATGCAAGATCTCAGTTTACAGTGTGCATTCCGTGCATTATCTGAAAAAACACCCGAAGCAGCATTTAACACATTAGTAGAATTATCTCAAAACTTTCCATCCCGTGCTCGGTAAGGATCAATCATCGATTTGCATTGAAAATCGAATAAATTCTTTTCTATTCAGTCTTTTATCGAAAGTCAAGATCGACTCGTCATTTCGTGATGCTCATCGATCAAATCAAGATGAATTTCGTAATCAGATGGAACTTGAAGCTGGTCATTCTAGTTTATTTATTAATTCAATTCCTCAATCATTGGACACAATTGATCTCTATGTTTTACTTAATACACTATTGAACGAAGGACAAATGATGGAACGTCTTCATATGATTGGTTTAAACAAAACTCATACACGACAATTACTTACCAATGAATTAAATATCCAAGCGATCAATTATATTTTAGATTTTCGTCATCCAGCAATCTTTTGGTTGAATGATCTGGAGAAAGACTCACAATATTCTAAATGGCCTTCGAGTTACTACGATTTGTTACGTAACAACTTCTTCGGTGGTCTTCGTACAATACGAAAAAATCTTTACAATCTCGTTTTGGTCATCGATCCATCAGACATCGATACTTCGTATGAATTGATGAAAAATATTGAAGCGTATTTCGTTCATGAATTACCTATACGGATTGGTGTCGTGTTTATTACTTCTGATGAATATAGTATTCAACTTTATCGCGCATTTCGATATCTTCTGAAGCAACATGGAAATCCCGCACGCGCATTGTCTTTTGTGAACGAGTTATACAAAAGTAAAAACACGGATGTGAAACAGGTCTTTTCGAAGAAAGCGAAATATTCCGGCAGTTTGACATCGATTTTTGACGATCCGAATCCATTCGAGACTGAACGTCTAGAAATGAACGCATATTTCGAACAGAGCGGTCTTTCCCGTGGTAATCCGCACGTTCTATTCAATGGAAATCCGTTGACTGCTGATGAATTGCTACCTACTGCATTTGAAGATGTCATCACAACACGAATGTTAAGAATGCAATTCGATATTCAACAACAAGTTTACCACGGTCAATTGCGAGATTCCGATAATATCATCGAGTTATTAAATACTAAACCCAACGTAGTTAAACGTTTAAATCAACGAATCTTTGGACAAACAGGATCGATGCCAACTGTTTATATCGATTTGTCAATGACTGATGGTCAAGCAAAAGATGTGTTCGATGCGGAAAAGTTTCGAACGTTATCTGTTCGAGAGCAAGCAGCAGTTATCATGTCGAGTATGATCTATCTAGGCAAAAAGGATGAATTAGGACAACCACTCTATCCGATTACACTGTGGATCGCATGTGATCTTGATCGACCTGAGGGACGGCAATTGTTTTTGAATGCATTGCTTTACTTGAAGAGTCATACACATGCTAGATTAGGTTTACTGGTAAGTGAATGTAGTTGAAGTCAGAATTATATATAGTTTATTATGTGAATATTTCAGGCATCATTCGATTCGGAATCTAATCTGGGTAGCCATCCGATCACCAAAGCTGTTTATACTGCTACAAAATTGCTTTCACCACCGATCGCCCGTACATTTATTACGAAATTACTGAAGGATGAAAGTGTTATTGAAGATTTACTAGCAAAACGAAAATCTTGGTCAGATGTAACTGTCAGTGGTTTAAGTGGTGAAACACTTGAACAAGAACTAGCTACATTCGATGATAATATTTTCCGTTCGCATTCGATTTTTATCGAACAAGGTCTGAATTTACCTCGTGGTTCACGAGCTGTTCTTGTCAATGGACGCATTCTCGGACCACTACATAACAATGAACAGTTTACCGAAGATGATTTCATTCTTTTGGATAAACATCTATCAACAACCATCAACGATCGTCTCGTTCGTATGGTAAACAAATTACAACTGTCAAACGATCCATCTGAACTCTCCAATCTTCTCATGCGTATATCATCGATTGTTAGTCAAAATGATAAGAGTTCAACGCCTGTCACACGAAAACAAACACCACGTATATCAACCACATCCAAGGCGGTACTTCACCTTCCAGCCGCCCACGCTGACGAGCCAGCCTTCTTAGTCGAAGCCATTATTGATCCAGCATCTCGTGACGGACAACGCTTATTAGCTTTACTGTCCGCTCTACGTCAATCAGTCAATATTGATCTGACTATTTATTTTAACTGTAAATTACAATTATCCGAAATGCCGTTGAAGAGTTTCTATCGTTACGTTTATGATATCAATTTACAACAAATGCCCAGTGCATTGTTCCAGTACGTACCTGAAACACCCATCTTAACATTAGGTATGGTCACACCAGAATCGTGGATGGTTGAAGCAGTTACATCGCCGTATGATTTGGATAACATACACTTGAAAAATGTGCCCGTTGGTGTAAGTGCCAATTTTGAATTACAATATTTACTCATTGAAGGACAATGTTTTGACGAAACTCAAAGTTATCCACGTGGTTTACAATTGATTTTGGGAACAAATCGAACGAAAAATATGTTCGATACTATTGTTATGGCGAATCTGGGTTATTTCCAACTGAAAGCATTTCCAGGTGTATGGCATTTAAATTTACGTGAAGGTCGTTCCGACGATATCTACACAATCGCATCGCACGATAATACCGATTCGTCGACACGAACGAGTCAACCAGTGATCGTTGCTATACGTTCATTTGATGCACGATGGATCAAAGTTTATGTTGCAAGAAAACCCGGCAAAGAAAATGACAAATTGCTCGAAGATGATGGATCTGAAGATGCTTCGGCTGGCGGTGGTAGTATATGGGATTCATTCAGTTTTGGAGGCTCACCATCGGGATCGGTTGGAACAAAAATCGACGAAGTATCCGATGATACGATCAATATTTTCTCAGTTGCTAGTGGTCATCTGTACGAACGGCTATTGCGTATTATGATGCTAAGTGTTCTCAAGAATACGAAGAAACCAGTGAAGTTTTGGTTCTTGAAAAACTTTCTCTCACCTATATTTACCAGTTTCTTACCTTATTACGCTCAACATTATAACTTTACTTATGAACTTGTTCAATATAAATGGCCAAAATGGTTAACAGTTTATCCCACAGAAAAACAGCGTGTTATTTGGGGTTATAAAATCCTTTTCTTAGATGTCTTGTTTCCATTGGATTTGAAAAAGGTTATTTTCGTCGACGCGGATCAAGTCGTCCGAGCTGATATGGCTGAGCTGCGTGATCTAGACTTACACGGTAAATATTCCGTGTTCTCATACAGAGTTTTATTGACTTTTATTCCGTTTAGGTGCACCGTACGGTTATGTTCCATTCTGTGAAAATCGTCGTGAAATGGATGGTTATCGATTTTGGAAATCGGGGTACTGGGCTAGCCATTTAGGCCATCGACGTTATCATATCTCAGCACTTTATGTCATTGATTTGAAGAAGTTCCGTAAGATAGCTGCTGGTGATCGTCTTCGTGGTCAATATTACGGTTTAAGTCAAGATCCGAATTCATTATCGAATCTTGATCAAGATTTACCGAACAATATGATTCATCAAGTCAACATTTATTCTTTACCTGAAGAATGGCTCTGGTGTGAAACATGGTGTAATGATGAATCGAAGAAACGTGCCAAAACAATTGATCTGTGCAACAATCCACAAACCAAAGAATCGAAATTAACAGCAGCAACACGTATCATTTCGGAATGGACAGACTATGATCAAGAAATAAAAAATCTAATCAATCAATGGGAGGAAGCCGGCAAGCCAAAAGTGACCTTAACATCAACAGCAACCACCGATGCAAAGATTGTTGACCATGGAGATTCAATTCATACACATGATCCTACTGACTTGTGATAAACTAAATTCGAGTGCTTTTTGTTTGCGTTTTTTTACAAAAAAGACATACATTCCCTAGAACTTTCTTTTCGTTTTTTCCTCCCTCTCTTTTCTTTGCTCATGCTTTTTATGTTTTCAACCTTTGTTCTTTCTTTGACTATCTATCTCTTGTTGTTAAGCCGTTCATTATAGTGACTGGTTGTTATCTCAAATATATTTTGTTTTGTTCGTTTCCGATGCTGATTATCCACAAGAAGAAAACAAATATGTTCGTTTTGTTTTTCATGTACGTGAATGAATAACATTGATAAAGGATTTGTAGACAACGCATATGATTCTTTTGCTTTCGTATAGCATGATCAGAAGGTGAAGAGTGAAATACAAAGCTGTTTTATTATCAAATAAATAAATATCAATTAGAAAAGTGAAGTTTACAACATATTGAACAACTTCATGAAAAGAAAGAGATGCTGGATTCAATATATGTTGGTTATTCATTCGAAGGATTGCGATCATTCGTTTTGTTCTGTTGAAGTTGAATCCGATTGAGGTTTAGGTGCTGGTGGTTGCCAATGGTCACCAAGCCAAACAAGAATTTTAGCTTCACGTTCAGCTAAATCAAGAAAAACTTCATTATGTTCAACTTTGACATCATAATTAAATGTCCATTCATGCCACCAACCATTGGTAGGCATATTCGGCACGCGATAATGCGCTAGAATTAGAGAGCAGAAGAATTGACTCGATTCAACCGAAATAAAACACACTTACCAAGATAATGTCCAGATAAATTCACAACAACAACTACACGTTCGCCTGATTCAGACCTAAAGAAAAAGAGTCGATCGGTGAATATAGAGGATGTTCTATACCATCTTTGGTAGGCTAAGACTTTGGCATTGTGATCTTCATGAATGAAATTAAGATTGGTTTGAAAAAATGCTTTATTTTCTTTTCGTAGAAGTACTAAACCATGGTAGAATGCCAAAAGATTTTTATTCAATTCATTGGCATTATCTTCGCGATCTGCAATCAATGACCAGTCGACTTTCGCCGTATCCGGTGTCTTCTCTTTGTATCTAATATTAAACAGAACATCACCTATTGAAATGCAAGTGCAAACAAGCCATTACTCTCCAATTTCTTCGCCCATCCAAATCATCGGAATGCCGATGCTTGTCATTTGAATAACAACACCAAGACGAATGCGTTTGAACGCTTCTGCACCAAAAATACTTCGTTCTTTACCTAATTCGACGAGCATGCGGTCATGATCATGATTTCCAATGTAATTAACAACATTTGTCACACCCAAAAATCCCTGTTGTCGACAATCGATAACGGATTTCAATCGGCCAATGTCTGTATTATCATGAAGCAAGACATCACGTAATGCCCAATAGAAACTATCATGCCAACCTAAAGAGATCTTTTGTTTTAATAATCTGTCACTGTGTGCTCTTACATCCATCCATGGGTCCATCAATGTTGGTGATGCAAGGTTCGTCTGGTAGGAATTCAGCGACACAATAGAATGGCTTTGGTCCAGCTGCTTTCTTCGATTCTCGTACAACCCAGTGAAGAAAATCAAAATTTTGAATTTGACGTGCAGCATCAAATCGGATACCATCGATATGGAATTCTTCAACCATATAACGAATAGAATCACCAACAAATTTACGTGCCGGCCAGATATTATACTTTGGATCATAGAAACCTATTCAATAATACGTAAAGACTGCCGAGAGCTTCGCATAACAACTCACTATAGTTCCACTCAGGTCCCCATGACACTAAAGTAAAACAATGATGTCAATTGAAGGTGATTTCAAATCACTTTACTTGTTACGTCTTTTGGATTATGATGATACCAGTAATCGTGATCGATTTGAGTTAACGGCGAAGAACAATCCGAATGATTGTATACCTAAATATCGCTTAAACGTGTATACCATCTGTCAGAAGTATCATTAGATCAACTTACACCATCTAGGAGAACTCGAATGCCATTCTTATGCATTTCATCGATCATTTCTTTCAAATCTGCTGTTGTACCATAGCTTGTTTCAATTGCAAAGTAATATCTTGGATTATACCTAGAGAAAATGACCAATTACATCATTAACTAACAATAGCAAGACAAACATACCCCCTAGAGAAATTCCGTTTGTTAAAGAAATACACGTGTATTTATTTTAATCTCAACACTAGTATTTTGTCTTACCAAGAATGATTTCCTAAAAAGTTGACAAGAGAGTTCATTTTTAACTTATGTTTTTCTTTTCCATATCATTCATATTTACCAGGATATTCTTTGATTGGCATGAGTTCAACTAGAATCAATCATGCTGAGCTGGTCAACATTGAAGAGTTAGAAGAAAACATACTTGCATTGACGCCAAGTGCTTTCAAATAATCGATTTTCTGTGTAACATGTTTGAACTGTCCACGACATAGTGGATCATCGTCTCCAGAAGCAAAATCACCGACATGAAGTTCATAAATAACAAGTTCTTCATCTGGTGGCAATGGACAATGATCATATTTCCATTCATATTCATCTAGTTATACCGAAAGTTTGACCAAATCTACAACTGAAAACTTATTCTTACCAATGATACGTTTGCCATTCTTGATCGTCAGTATACCAACGGCTTTGTGCGCGTCATCTAAAATAAATTGAAACATCAGTATTGTTTGCCTTTTGAGAAAATTGATTTACCCGTTCCACGTTCATCGACATCAGTTGCATAGGGATCAACGAATGTATACCAAATTTCCGTAAAAGTAGCTTCGTGCTCACGTTGACGATTTCGTTCTCGAATCTCATCAATAAGTCGGGCATGTGCTTCAGTTTTTTCCTGTTTTTCTTCTTGTGCTGAAAAAACAGACACCATAAGTTTTCACAAGAAGAATCCGAACCAAATAATAAATCGTTTACTCATTTCTTTGTATTCATCATCGTCATAGTTTGGTAGTGCAGGCTCTGGTTCTTTCTCAAACCAAGATTTCGTTTGGACTAATAACAAGAGAAACCGAGCATGGAAAGTTTTTTGAGGCCACTTGAAAATATGTCCATACTTTTGAATTGATAATGGAAAATACCATCGGCGAGATCAAGAGTTGCTCGAAAATAGCCGTCAGATTCGTCTTTTTCCATCACTAGACGAATACCAAGGATTTTAAAAAATACACTTTCATACGAAGAAAAGCTTACATATATCGACACCAAACATTCGAACATTGGCATTTTTCAACTATTAAAATCGATTGACAAATTCGAAATACGACTGATAAATACATACCCGTAATGCTGCTTGTTTATTATACGGCGCGAATAATGTGAAAGTAAATGGTGCCATCGTAGCAAGATCTGAAATAGGAATGATTCTTTTTTTTTAAATCATGTAATGACAAAGTTCCAATAGAGAGTCTCGCGAACAACTGTTAGAAGATTTGTTTTGAAGACTGATTTCAGAGTATTATTATTGGAATGTTTCATAGAACAACTCTTCGTTATTGATTTCTAAATAAACCGATTATATATCAACCGAGGTATTGATGATGAATTTCAGTTGGACAGACAAGTTGAAACAGTACATATTGAAATGTTTGTACTACAGGTCAAAGGTCTCTCTTCTTTTCTTTGACGATAACACTACCAGAATTATGTAATTTATCTCGACCTCTTCATACTTGCCTCTCGATGTGAATACTGATTTGTTTCTACTTACATTCAATCTGGTACGAGGGGCAGATGTGAAAAGACTGAATCCAACTACTGATTTGACTATTGCAAATAGTAAGAGAGAGAACATCGATGCGATACAACGAAATGAAATCTGGACGTATATATATATCGACAGAAGAGATGCATAAAATCATCGTCGATTATTTGTACACGTTATAGTATGGCGAGAGATAACGTTTACGCCAATCAGATTCGAGCGAGAAGTTACGTCTGGACAAATGATACAAAACATTTTCTGTTCTTTCTTTATATATGAATAAATGAGGAAATACTTCTGTTGAAAACGAATACGAGCCACAAGGTGAGAAAACAAACACATACATAGACAAATAGTAGTGAGAAACTAGGACGAATCTTGGTTTAACATCAGAAAGACAGACTAACACAAATAATCATCACAATTAATCATTAATAATCATCAGGTATATCGGGAATCTTTGCAATAACATTTCGAACCATCTCAGCTTCTTCGCTAGTTATATCCGCGGGTAAAGATTTCATTGCTGGACATGCCTGAATATCATCGTAAGTCGCGGGTCTATCCGCTTGTTTTATTCTCAATCTAAACAAAAAGAAACATAGATTTTCTCACAGCTGACTTCATTTTTGTAAACGCTTGGTTTTTCTTTGTCCTCGACTATGACTTACAGCCAAACGATCAATTGTTGTAGTTCTATTGAAAGATTTGTTGGCGGTTCTGGTGACCATGTCATGATTGCACTCATTATTCCTAATGCATTCATTTTCGCAAATGGATGTTGACCAGTTGCTATTTCCAACTAAAAGCAAATCGACTAGAGACATGTAACACAGTATAATTGAATTTACCGTAGAGAGACCTAATGCCCACATGTCTGATCTAATACCATAACCTTCCGGTGCTTGAGCCGCATCAATTCGTTCAGGCTAGAAGCAATGCAGCTTAATGCGGGATTCGGTTTTAAAGCAATGAAAACTTACTGCTAGGTAAACTTGTGTGCCTTTCATCATAGTATGTGCGACAGAGTTCGTTAATTGACCAGATATTCCGAAATCACAAATTTTAAAAATAACCGGATTTTGCTTAACAAGAATATTCGATGGTTTCACATCCCGATGAAGTATACCTTTTGATTTAAGAAATTGCAATGCATCCACGATCTGAAAATCGACAATGTGTCATTCGATATATCATCAAAAACATAAGTTTGTTCTGTTTTACATGATTGACCATTCGTTTTAGTAGAATATCGAGATGCTGCGTTTCTTTCATCTTATGCATAGTTGTATAGAACTTTTCCATAGATGTATCACATGCTTCCATGCAGATGACAACTTGATTTTCTTTCTGTTGAATGGAAAAAGTAAACAACCAATGAGACGGTAGAAAAGGCAAGTTTTTTTTTACGAACTTTGTCAATAAGTCCTGCATAGAATCGAATCACATGAGGAAAATTACATGAACCAACTGTACGAATTGTTTTCAAATCGGTCGTAGCTGTATAGTCCGCTGCATTGTTTGTGCTCGGTATTAAACCTAGACGCTATTTAAAGAAAAACAAACAAGAATGCTTCCTCCACCAGAAAATTGACTTCTTCTTCGAACGGCATACTTTCACAGCCATTTTTATATCTCGATGATTTTCGACTTCGGCAAGCATTACACTTCCGTAATTTCCAAATCCCAATTTTCGTATATCAATTAACTTATTTACATTGATAGTTACATCCTCGCCATTGTAATTGATAACTGCCTCTTCACCGACATCAGGTAGCCTAAATGAATGCAAAAAACTCGAACAATTTTGAGTAGAGAAGTTTATATTTACATGTAAGTGTTGTCCGCTGCTTGTTCAACTTGTTCGCCAGTATAATCTGGAAACTCGACTCGAACTGAAATGATAATGTGCAAAAACAATGAAAAAGTCTTATCTTCTTATCTTGACGTACATTTAAACTTCTCCTTTCGATTTTGTCTCGATGTTCCTTTCGACATTTTACAAATAGAAAATACACACGAAACCCTTCTCTGTGATGTTTTGGTACAACCACACACAATAATGAATCATACATTCCTTAAACGATCAAACTAACCAATTGTAGAGCAAACGAAAAGCCTCTATTCCTTCTTTTCATTGGTGATTGATTCCGTATGAAGACAGAAGAACAACGAGTAATAGAACACGTTTCCTTTTGCTAGATTGTGTTGCAGATGACTGATGCGTATGTTTTACAATGATTTCTCCGAATTTTCACGTTGAATTTTGTTTGTTTCATAGAAAACAACGATTCGATCAAATTGCTAGGACTAATAAAGAAAATATCCGACGAATACTATCTAGCAACGACCATCAACTCAATTCCGATTCTGTCGACGATGGCAATTTTATTGAAGAAATTTTACATAAAACTCAAAGCTCGTTCAATTCTGGTAGAGAAACAGTTTCCGATGTCTACCACCATCTGACTTCCATTCTAATTAGGTTCATCGGATGATCTTGGTCGTACATACCAATATTTGATTGATTCGTTATCATCAGATGGTAATATCTGTTTGATCTGTATTGATGTGATACAAAAGAAAGATGCAGTTCGTAGATAGTCATTTGTATTGCTTTTATCTTAATCTATTTTCTAAAGATTTGGAATTGTTCATGTTGTTATTCACCATTCCATATTGTTTGTATCCAACAGTGGATTAAGGATAGTGCATATCAATCATCAATAGCAAATACCAATGCGACTCATACTTGGCATTGGTAAAATAGTTTTTTCGAAACGAGTAAAAATTTTTTTTTGTTTCTCATTCCATAGTCCGAAATGTCGAACAGAATTCGATCAAAAAGACAATCCTAAACGTTACCTATGTTACTGTCAAAAAGAAATCGATCCACAATTTGATCCATGGCTAATTCCTCATTCGTGTGGACAAACATGTGGTAAAGCGTTGGTACCTGAGTGTGGTCATAAATGTTTATTGCTATGCCATCCCGGACCGTGTCCACCTTGTCCGAAACAAGTCAATATTCGTTGCTACTGCAATCAAGGAACCCCAACAGCACGCCGATGTGGTTTTAAAGGTTGGTCATGTGGGAGATTATGTTCGAAATTATTGTCTTGTCAACAACATCGATGCGAACAAGTATTGTGCGATTTCTATGAAAAACTGAATGTTGAGATCGTTCGAATAGGCTTGTCATCCGGGAGAATGTTTGCCATGTCAAAAAACCAGTGTCCGATCATGTCAATGTGGAAAGACTAAAGCAGTGCGAAATTGCAACGAATCGAATTTTCAATGTGATCAGGTAAATCGATGATGTTTTATTTCTCATACCGAATCATTATTGAAATCTGGAAACAATTTTAGCCATGCGGTCGGTTACTGAATTGTCAGATTCATCATTGCAAACGAATATGTCATAAGGGAGACTGCGGTTCTTGTCCTCGACAAGGTCTACGAACATGTCCATGTGGCAAAACAAGTGAGAATATGTGTCTAAATGAATAACATTTTTGCAATGTTTTGTCCTTCTTTATTAATGTAGAATACGAAAATCTACCATGTTCAGAAGATGTTCCAACATGTGGCGATACTTGCGATAAAAAACTTGATTGTGGTCTTCATCGATGTTTGCATCGATGTCATACTGATGATTGTGAATCAGTAAGATGAACCGCGGAATGTTTTCTCTTCGTTGATAGAAACATTTTCATTTAAAGTGCCGACAAGTGACGATGAAACGATGCCGATGTGGCTTAAAAGAAAAGTCTATTCCATGCTGTCAAGAATTTCTCTGTGAAAGTAAATGTATACGTATGCGAGAATGTGGGAAACATCCATGTAAACGTAAAGTATGAAACAAGAAAATTTTCTTCGGAATTTCCATACAATCTAGAACTGCTCATCTAGTGTTGTGATGGAAATTGTCCACCGTGTCAAACTGTTTGTGGTAAAACGCTCAATTGTCGCAATCATAAATGCCTTAGCGAATGTCATCGTGGCCAATGTTATCCATGCTCGCACAAAGTTGATGTTACTTGTGCATGTGGACACACGTCAATAACTGTTCCATGTGGTTGTGAGAAACAAACACGAAAGCCACGTTGCAATCAACTATGTTTGTAAGTTTCGCTTAATGTTCAATAAATCTGAAGGAGTTGTATATTACGATGTAGAAAACTATCAACTTGTCATCATACTGAACGTGAGCCACATTTGTGCCATTTTGATGAATGTCCACCGTGCAAACAGCTATGTAATGTATTACTCAAAGATTGTTCACACGTATGTCCGGCAGTTTGTCACGACTCGGTGCTAGTCAAAGAAGAAGTCAGTGCATCAAACACGCCATGGGGAATGAAAGAGAGAGAAAAATTTGTTAGCAAAACGTTACCCTGTCCACCATGTCAAGTGCCAATGACTATATCTTGCTTTGGCCAACATACAGTATGATCGAAATTCGGTTCTTTAGTGAAAATATACATTTACCTTATTTTTCTAGTCGCAAACATTTCCATGTTCAAAAGCCAAACCGTTCTGTTGTGGTCAACTATGTAGTCGAGTCTTAAAATGCCAGAATCACCTGTGCAATCTGCCCTGTCATGTGGTAACCGGTGCTAGTAATCAAACAGATGTAGGAAAATTCTCGTATGAATAGCATCTTTTTTTCAATGAATACCATCTATTAGGCGGGGGTTGAATGTATCAAGTGCGAAGAAATGTGTACTAAAGAACGACCACTTGGCTGTCAGCATTCCTGTCCGTTAGCTTGCCATCCAAATAAATGTCCACCATGTAAACAACGTCTACGAATGCGCTGCCATTGCAATACCCAAGTGATCTATAGCGATTGTCAGACATTCACAAGCGCAAGCGAAGAAGAAAAAGAAAAAATCAAGTCATGCAGAAAACCTTGTCCGAAAAAAGTAAATCTCATTTAGCGCATAAACACTTCATTTTCCTCCTTCAATTAGATTCCTTGTGGTCATTCGTGCACGTACCCTTGTCATTCCGGCGCTTGTTTGCCGGTCACTGACTGTGTTGAGCCAGTTCAAGTTCGCTGCACATGCAAACGCATTCAACAGCAAATTCCGTGCTGTGCAACCAAAGGAGCTAAAAACTATCGACTACCATGCGACGACACATGTGCTGAATTGAAAAAGAGTCGACTGGCAACACCACCAACTCCTCCGGCGGTACAAACAACTACCGAAGAAGCAAAACCATTGATTGAGGCTGAAACTCCAATAACCAAACGAAAGAATCGAAAAGCTAACACCAATACCGAGACAGCGCCAACCGGCAGCACCACACCAACAGCCAAAAAATCCCGGGCACGTGGTTTTGTTTGGACATTGAATAAAGTTATTGTTTTATTCGGGCTTTTTTCTTTTATAATTGTTTCATTGATTATTTATATGTTTAAACATATCGCTTAACTTCTTCAGGAATATCGGTTCTATTTGTTTTAGATTTCGTTCTTTTTCATGTCTTGCTCAGCGACATCCTCTGATAATCAACAATATGCAAGACAATTCGCTGATTATCTAGAATATGGAATTGACTTTCCTGAACTATCCCAAATTCGACAATTAGATATATTATTGCAAGGTTGAGTAGCAACACGGTCAAAGTCTCCGTTCTTATCGAGTTTTACATATTTTAGATTGCCATTGTCGTATCCAGGAGATCGCTGAAAATTTGCGGACCAACAATAATAATTCTGACGAGCAAACGGTAAATAAAATGACACTGTTGATCAATACTGACTTTTCCATGTTAATTTAGCGATTGCAAACAATGCTAATCAATGCGTTGGTACAAGCTAAATCTATTGGTGATAAGAAAATGGAACTTAGTCAGCAAATGCTCGATGCTACCGAGCGACAATCAAGAAAACTGCAGATTGCTTGTCAAAATAATAGTAACTTTGATCACCTGACTTTGTATTTCTCAATCAAACTTCTGTTATCCTAGTTGAATCAATGACTCAACAAAATGTGTTGCCCGACGTGAACAGTGCCGATTCTGAGAATGAATACGATTCCGAATCTGGTTTGTTAAACGCTTTTCTCAGCAAGAAATACACTCTGTATTTAGATCGTCATCGTTCATTGTGGAAACGAAAGACACCCATCGGTCCATCTGCGAACGTTAAACGTCGTTGTGTGATCAATTCTGAACCGTCAGAAAAGTCGATGAATAGCGAGCGTGACAGACGAAAAGTCGTTCAACGAACCGTGAATGCTAATCTACAACCAAACTCAACAAGTGCCGGAAGACGGTTACGATTAAATAATGACTCATCTAGTTCTCAATCCGACGAAACAACTTATTGTTTATGTTCTCAAGTAAGACGAGCTGAAAAGATTGAATTTGCATGGATTTTCCATTTGCTTTTAGCTCTCTTATGGTTCAATGATTCTATGTGATAGTAAAACTTGTGACATCAAATGGTTTCATTTTAACTGTGTTCAGTTGACGACAAAACCGAAAGGAAAATGGTTTTGCCCGAATTGTCGAGAAAATCGAATTTAAACAATAAAATTTCCTTTGTATACAAACGACACCACCCGCTGACGTTGTTAAGATAGAAATAACATGGAGTGCTCACATCTGCACACAGTTTCAAAGAGAAGAAAATGACAGCTGATGCAAGAGAAAATCATGAGAATCTACTTGCAATGAAACTAATTATACTTTTGTAAAGTTTATAATATCAGTGAGAGCGGAGATATGTCAGTGACAAAAGTTCTGATCAAGTCAAGAATATTTCACATGTCAAAAGTAGTGTTGAAATAAAATGTTCTATGTTTAGTATACACAAACTAGTCAAGAATAAAGAAAAATGATTAGTAGTAATACATATGGAAATTCCATTGGGATTTCTTCCATCATCTATTTGGTTACGAAGAGAGATGTATAAAGCATGAATTCTTGTTTTCTTTATTGATGGCTGAATTAAGAATAGAGAAAAAAAGAGATCGAGGTGTTATTAAAATAGTTGCTAAGATGAATAGAATATAGTTTGACAAACTACAAGAAGCAACAAGACATTGAATAACAAAATAAACTTGTTGAACTAAAATGTGCGTGTGTGTTTTCGTATGAGTTCATTTGAATTTCTTCGAATTTATTGACGATGTTTATCAATATCGGCTTTCAATTGATCGACATTGGCACCAACGACTCGGTGAACTTCTTTGCCGTCTTTGAAGAAGACGAATGTTGGCATGGCTTCAACATTAAATTCTTGAGAAACAGCTTCGGCCTGGTCAACATCGCACTTGAGGAAAACTACGTTATCTTTATAATCACCTGAACTCCAATCTTCAATCTTTGGTGCAATACGTAAACATGGTCCACACCATCTAAAAACACACTCGTCATCATTACAATTATCTCTTCAACTGAAATTCTTACGTAGCAAAGAAATCTAAGACAATTAGTTTGCCTTTGTTTTTGTCGCTGGTAAATTCAGCTTGAAGTTCTTCGATTGTGGTAATAGCATGAACCATGTTCGAGGTATGGGATTCTAATCGATATAATCTAGGAAGAAATTAAGTTGTTATGCTTTGCACAATTGTGAAAAGAAATGTATCTTGTAATTTCTCGACAAAAAGAAAGTTTGAAGAAGAGAAACAACAGTCCCGTCAGTTATGTTTTTTTTCTCTTCATGTTCTCTTTCCTTCTATCTAGAGCATATTGGCCTTTTAAACGAAAGAAACGTATTTACCACTCGACGAGATGAAAATGATTCGATCGCTAACGAAAATCTGATCTCATATCGTCGCCGAAGAAATGGAATTGTAAATACGAACGAAACGAAAGAATGTATAGTCGAACAAAAGCAAAAACTATCTGTACCAATCGATGACGACTATAAAACTGCTAGTCTGCCACCATTTTTCCTCACTGACATTTTTTTATCTCGAATACCAACAATATAAGTTTTATATGCAGGAGTTCTGCGTTTTTCCACTATGCAGCTTTGCAGTTCGTTCGTCGGCGAATTCTTTCAATCGTCTAAATCAACAACTCGAAATAAAACGTCATATTTTTTTATTAAACAGATAGAAGCAGTATTCTGCCCAAGAAAGTTTTACACGAGATCAAATTTCCACGACTGACAACTAGTGCCATCTAACTCGTAGTGCCTTTTGTTATCGTAAAGAGTGAGTGAACTAAAAACTTCGATCGAGGATTAAAGCTCGTAATAGAAATCAATCGATGAAATTAAGCTAGTAGAAGACAGAAGACTTGAAATTCAGATATAATAGTGAATGCTTTTTTTGGTACATGACAATCACGTTCGTTTTTACTGGATTTTTATGTCTGTAAAGATTTAATCGAAAAACACCAGACCTGGATCAACACCAATCATAGTTGTTTTGTCACTTTTCATTGTTAAATTATACTCTTTTACGTATACTTATGTGTTCTGGCACACCCTTTGCTCCTTATTTCGATAATCAAACATGCATGGCGCACCAAAATAAAAGGACAGGAAGGAAAAGAAATACTTTTTTGTATCCAATAACCTTACAAAAATAGACTCGCTTATGTAACCAACAGCACGAGCAATACATATATTCGTTGATATCAAGCAGTTAAACGATGGCAGATTCTTCAGATCCAAACAGAGGTATGTTGTACTAATCGTATCAACAATATTCATCATATCAAACATCTTTTCGTCATAGACAATCTCATCATGGAAGAATTTCAGACTAAACATTACTTTCGTCATAGTTGGTGGCGTATATTGCTGATTGTAACGGCATTTTTGAGTTTTATTCTTACTTGTATCTTCAATGGGTTAGCCAGTCGTGGTCCGAATGGTAATAACCATAGTGTTTAAAATCATCGCGCAATCTTCGAACCGTTCGTTTGTATTTAGGAGTGTTCACACGGCAAACTGGAAGAGTGAGTGATGAAAATCCAACAGAATTTACACCTGCTGGTATGTGTTACTAAGTCTCGAGAAAAATCCAACTTATGAATGCATTTTTATCTCTCAGGTTGGACATTTAGTATTTGGGGTATAATTTATTTCTGGCAAGCAGCATGGTTAATCTATGCTATAAGTCGAATTCCAAGAAAATCAAATATTAATTATCTGTATATTCATCCAAATACACTGCATTTCACTGTTTTCATCATTTATATAATTAATATGACTTTGAATATTATATGGCTTGTCGTATGGGATCGAGGATATTTTGGAGTGAGTATTTGTATCGAATCAAACTTATATCATGGATTTGACTTTGTTCTAGTGGTCATTCTTTATTCTTCTTTCGATGTTTATCACTATCATTGTACCAATGGCTATTACTCATATTCTTCTGGAAAGAAATCGACAAACTTACGTCAATTCTAATCGGTAAGGACAAATGTATTTTCTATAAAGAAAAAACATTTCGTTTTGAATAAAAGAACGTTAGATATTTGGTTTGTGCGTATATTTGTTCATAATGGTTTGGCTATCTATGGAACATGGCTTTATCTAGCAACACTATTGAATTTGACGGTATGGATTTCGCAAATCTATAACAAGAACGCATCATCAGTTACAGATGCGTCAACAGCTGCTCTTAGTCTCGTGCTAATTGCAATTTTCGTCTATTATATTTGTGAAAATATCATCTTCTATTCGTCAATGGCATATACATTCCTTCCGTGGTTTGTTCTCATATTCGCTCTGACAGGGATAATCTCAAAAAATGCTCAACGATCCGATGTTTCTCATCGGAACAAAACATTCGCAATCGCTCTTCTCATTATTTGCTGCATTTTATTCTTTGTGCGTTCGATCCTATTCATCGTACGTTATGTGAAAAAACAAATTCCAACTGTTCAGGATCCCTAATGTGCAAATAAATGATTGTCATAGATGACAGTATAGATATTTGATCAATGCAAAGAAATCAGTTGAAAAGAAAAACGAAATACTATTTTGCATATTTAAAGTGACCAGATCAAAGAAAAAAAAAGGATATCTAAATTTGTCTTCATAGAGAATTCCACTTTCTTAATTTATTCTTATTGATATTTACACATTCATCTTTAGTACAGATAAAGGTTGAGTATGCGAATATTAGATGAACGAAATCATTTGCGCATCATCCTTTAAAAGTTGTGTTGCCAACTTTACTTGCGATACCTCGTGGGTCATCGTTCAAGAAAAATTTCCATGTGAAATCTATCATTTTCAGTGAAGGATGACATCATAGATTAAACGGCGACGTCAATAGTATCGATCTCGGCATATATCAAGTTATGATTGAACGAATTTGTCGTTAACCATTGACAAGGAAACAAGATAAATTGTTTTAATACTTTATACTCTCGCTATTTTATTACTTTGTAAGCCTTATCTATTCTCAGACAAATTATTTTTTGTTGTCTATATGTATTTTTTTTTCGATTTTTGTCTGTTTCTCAATATCTATAATTGCGTTTTCTATTAGAATGAAAATTCATTAAAATAAACATATCGATGAAATAGGAAAAAAAAATGATGTACATGAATTAGGAAAAAAAAATTTGCCGACCAAACTGGACTAAAATGATTATACTATTGGTCGTAGTTCAATTTCAACTTCTTCGACAATATTATTTGGTACATGACCAACTTTACCAAGAAAATTCTTCGCTCGCCACCATTTCTTCGAACTGTCTTCAATTTCAATCAATTCACCACGATGAACAGTCAATTCTTTCGAGTTCTGACCGTTACGATCAATTTTAACTGCACATATTCTATCGAACACAAACAAAGAGGTAAATTCTTTCTCACTTGTTACTTCATTCACTCTTACTTGGCTCCAGCACGTTTCCGGTCAATAGCCCATGCATGTTCATTTTGCATATTACTGTTATAATTATCTAACACGCCCTTTTTAGGTGAATGGTTGATAGTTGAAGCATCAAAATGTGTCACAGGCGTTGGTGATGGTTGACGAACAAATGTTGTGTTGTAATTAGTTATTAAACCGTTATTGTTCGTGGTTGTTTGCTAAATCACACAAAAGAAAACGATTGAAATTTTCAAGATCTTTTTCTCCATACGCGACTGGCCGTCGTCCAAACGGATTGTTGTTTTTCATCGAATTGTGTGAATGGATGAGTAGTTGTCGTACGCTCAGTTGTGCGTGTAGATGAGATTAGCTGTGGCTGAGATTGTCCAATAGGTACATCCTGTATCCAGGCAGCTCGACCTTCATAGAATATTGGTCGATAGTCAGAAAACTTCGGCGTTGTTTCATCTCTACAAAAGTAAATATAGGAAGTGAATATTTTCGACGGAAATTCGGCTACGTACGCTGCTCGAACCCATGCTGGACCAAGATTACGTAAAATTTCATGTTCTTTTGATGTTAAGCAATTCAACAATAGTTCTTTTGCTTCTCTTGTCAATGCTGGTATCCAAATGTCTTGTGTTATCTGTGAATGATTGGCGTGTTTTGAACGTAATGTATACAGAATGAATTGTAATGGTGATAATAGATAATGGACTAATTCGGGTGCATTCGGATTATGAATAATGTGTTTGAGTTCGCCTAATAGATTAAACGAATGCTTGAATTTTTGTAAAATATCGATAAAATAACGATCATCTGGCAGTTTTTCTACCATTTGTTTGAGACCAGCTAGATAACAAATGGAAAAACGAATGAAACATGATTAAAGGAAGAAAGAGGGATTCGTACTCGTGGGTTTCTTTTCTTTTCGTCGATAGTCACGTTCCAATTCTTTGGTATATTCCATAACTGCTTCAAGATAACGTACAAATAATTCAATATCATCAAAACATTTGTTCAATTCTTCCGTTAAATGTTTATAATAATCCGTGGCAGCTAAAGTCGTTTGTTGAGTGACTGTTCGAATCTGTTGACTGCCATGCATGTACGTTGGATCTATTGAAAAAGTAACAAGCGTAAAATAAACACTCGAAATGCTCATTATTACTATTCAAATGTGTTGATTCTGTGATCAGATGTTGCATTAAACCAGGTCCATGATTACCGTAATATCTATCGGTAACATGCTGATCAAATGTACCACGTGTTTCCATTGTAGCACTAAATCAATCAATCAATGAAAAAAAGAGTCATTCGTTGCTGAAGGTGACATCAGCTACGTGTCAATGGGTTTTGAATTGGGAATTTACCTTTTGGAATGTTTCAATGGTTTACCAGTAGCGGTTCGAATACTATCAACAAGTACTCGTGCTTCATTATTTGAACATTTAAATACAACAACAGGAGAGCCATCGGTACTAGTTGAACTACTAGCGTGACTTGTTGTTGATGTTAAATGTCGATCAACTAGACGATACATAAAGATATCATTCAAGGTATCAGGTACATCAGCATGTACACATGTTGGATCGACATTTTCAAGTGGAATTGTTTCAGCGATGATCTAGATTACGAAAACCAAATAGATGTTTCGAACGTGATCAATCGAGTTTACTTGTGTTCCGCGATCGAAAATAACCAATGACCGATCGGTAACGTACAACGAGCATGGCTTGTTGATAAAACTTTGAGTTTGTTCCTTTTGACGTAATTTACTAGTCACTTCTGCCGAATAGAAAGCATCTAAATACGGAAAAAAACGATCTCTGATGACTGAACGCAATTGAACCCAATCCACGTACTTCGTTTGTCGTCAATTCGAACAATTGCTAACAAAGAAGCATCAACACGAAGTGCTCGTGACAAATCCGGATTGTGTCCATTCGAGTGTGAACGTGACGATTGAGTCTCAGTCAATAGATTGTTTGTCAGAAAAGGTGAATTCACGTGATCTAAACGAAAAACTCGGTTATTTTCAATGAGTTAGCGGTAAAATCGAAAAATATGCTTTTTCTTCCTCTACGGCAAACATTCGACTAAAATACACGTACCATGGTACTGTTCAGTGAAGCGATAACGCGGTAAAGAATAGTTGACAGGTGGACCGGCATGCGATATGGATGGATTTTGAAAATATGTCATTTTAAGTCGATTTTTTTACTTCGCTTACTATGTGTGTGTGTGTTTTTCTTCTTATCGAATAAATAATCGGAGTTCAATACTGATTGATTCAATAAGGTAGAGAGAAAAAGAGACGGATGTTGATAATCGACGTACGTCGTTGGTCGAACTCTTGATTCCTTCGGTTTTTTTTTCTTCTCTTTTATCACTCTCTTGAATTTTCTTTTCTTCTCTATATCTCTGCTTATGCGTGTGTATGTTTGACGGATAGAAAAAACGAAAAGTAATAATTGTACTGTTTATAACTAGTAGAGTGCCCCTTCCTCTTGAAGAGACAGACGACGCCGATCAGTTTAGCGAATTTGAAGAAGGAAAAAGAAATAAAATGGAAGAAAGAGAGAGAGAGAAAGAGAAGTAAACGAAGAGAAAAAAAACTTGACAAAATTTTGTCCAAATAAAAGAACGTCGAGTGATGCAAAAGGAACTACATTCCTTCCTACGTATCGGTCAAATAATTTAAGATAGAAGCGAAAAAAGAGCGAAAATCAAAACGGAAGAATAGATATCTTCTTGCTCTTCTACTTGTCATGCTCTATTCTTCACACATAGATGACGGAAACTCAACATATCTATGTGGGCGAGTGGTATTGTTTATCGCTAAATCAAAAGCAAAATAGCAAGCAATACGAGCAAACACTAATCATACAATCAATAAATGAAAAAAGTCTATATGTCCTCAGAAAAGTACATGTGAAACATAAAAAACAAAAGAACAAATTATAGTTAACTTACCAATGAGGTTACTATTAAGAATTAAGGACATAGAAAAAGGTACTCAGAAGAGAAGACTTCAAAATCCCGTACCTGATGATTTCCACTGGTCTTTGTGCTGCTTCATTGTACGTGTAGGCATCGAATTTCTGTAAAACAAAAAAAAAAGAAAGAAATAATACAATAGAAAAGAAAAAGTTATCGAATGGAATATACCTATCGAACTCAGGATGAAGTCCTCGGCGAAGATGACTGAGCATAATGATCTAGAAGTAAGAAACAAGTTTTCGTTTGACAAATGTTTTAGACAGTAAGTGTTGTATAAACATGTTCATTCGTATGTATATGAAAAACATTCTCGCAAGTAAACAATGTCATGTCGCCTACGGTAGAACAAAGGAAAAGTTAATCTTCGTTTGAACAAGACACCAATGTAACTTCAAGTCAAATAGAATTAACCTTAAACATGAACAGCGATGACCTTTTACTCTCGTATACAGTAAGTTCTCTCCTAGCCTTGACATTCAATCCAATTGATTGAGTTGGATTTTATTTAACATAAACTTTATTAAGGAATGTACAGATATTTCTCACGGAGAACATACCTCATCAGCTGATCAATTGAGTGAAAATGCGCAAGTATCAAGGTTAAAATAGATGCAAACGAAATGCAGACGAAAACGGAAAGTGAATGAAGAAGAGAAGCCAAAGACATACTCTTAAGAACACATTCTGTCCGCGTGCTCGAATATGTATATAGAGACAAGAAAAACATCTGTTGTTTGTATTTTGAAATGAAAATATTAGTTTCTTTTTCCTATACGGCTCAATACATAGGAGAAAAATCAATCGAAAACGACAATTCCAGTCATGATCGATCGGTGAATCACCAACACATATATTATATATGTATTCGAGCGGTTTAAGATTCTTATTTGCTGTAAGAAGAGAAGAATTACACGAAAAGATCAAATATCTTTATGTTTTCTTATTTCAAGATGTTCGAAATAACCAAAGAAAAACGATATTCGATATCGATTGGAATTAATTCACAACGATTACCATTATGATGAAATATGCTATGTCAGTATAACAGTGCAGCTATCTCTCAGACGAAAAGAACACATCGAACTTGCATACGTGCGTCTGAACTAGAAAATATTTGAACTAAGATAAGTGTTCGTGAAACGAGAGAGAGAGAGGGAGAGAGAGTCAAGCAGACGGATCGAACGAAAAATTCTCGTCAATAGTCCGTTGTGAATGATTAGCGAGTGTATAATCTGACGTACAATTGTCTAGTGGTTTGAGTGATACGAAAGAAAATTTTCTTCAAATATTTTTAAGTTTCAATCATTTTTTTTATTCTTCCGTGCGAATTTTTTTTCGCAAGTCTTGAAAAAATTCCCATTGGTCGATACTTTCAACTAATGAGATCTAAGGGAATTATCAAACCGCCATCATCATCATAAGTATGGAGTTCTTCTAGTTGTTTAGTCACTTGTTTTCGATTATTTACAAAATAGAACAAAACTTCGTTATAGATCTAGTTTTACTCTTTGCATCATGTCAAGCGAATATTGGATCATATCTGTGCCAGGCAAGTCATCAGCACGACAAAACTATGATGAAGTTTGCCGTGTAACTGGCCGCGATCAGTTATCACAGAATTTTATGTTCAACATTCCTGATTTAAAGGTGAATTGACGGATTCAAATGAACACTTTTTATTGAGAAATTTCTAGGTTGGTACATTGGATTCACTTGTGGCACTTTCCGATGATCTGACTCGCATTGACGGTTACATCGAAGGGTAAACAAACTGTCGGAACTGTTCTCATTGTATAAGAAAATGTTTAGAGTGACTAAGAAGTTAACCCAATTCTTCTTTCATGATGTACTCGAAGATGATCGCAATCGGCTTGCTGAAAATCTTGTCGTGGGACAAAACGGTGGTAAGATTCACTTGATTTTCTTTATTGACACTCATCAATTCACTTCATTAGTTAATCCAATACATTATGTCACTGATTTTCAATGGGACCATGCGAAATATCCAATCAAATTACCATTGAGAAGTCTTTCGGAAATCATCTCCAAAGTATGTCGGATGAGCAGGCATGTTTTGCGAAAGAACAGTTGTATTGTAGGCAGCGACACATATTGAAAGCGAACTGAAACTTCGTAGTCAATCGTACAACAACGTCAAACAGACACTGGATTCGTTGGAAAAGAAGCAAAGGTGAGTTCTGGAATCTAATGTTCTCCAACTCAGTACTTTTGTTTAGTGGAAGCTTATTGACACGAAGTTTAAATGATGTTTTGAAGAAAGAACATTTCATCTTGGGCAGTGAATACTTAAAAACTTTATTAGTTTGCGTACCAAAGCCTTTAATGAATGATTGGTATGCAAAATATGAATCCTTATGTACAATGATTGTACCACGTACAACAGAATTGATAACACAAGATCAAGATTATGCATTATTTTCTGTTACACTCTTCCAAAAAACTGAAGATACCTTCCGACACAAATGCCGAGAGAATAAGTACGTAGATATGCTCATGTGAGGTGAGAAATATGTGTTGTTGAGAATGTTTTAGATTTACCGTACGAGATTTCACGTACGATGAAAAAGCAGTGGCGAATGAACGAGAAAAGATTCACGAACTCGAAACTGAACGACAAAAACTCTATGCAAACCTTGTTCGTTGGCTGAAGATCAATTTTGGAGAAATTTTCTCTGCTTGGATTCATATTAAAGCATTACGAGTCTTCGTCGAATCGGTCCTTCGGTAGATTCGTTACTTGAGCACTGATTCTCAAAGGAACATCCATATTTTTCTTTTCAGATATGGTTTGCCAGTTAATTTCACTGCCATGGTTATTCATCCATTGAAGAAATCACCAAAACGCTTACGTGATGAACTTGACAAACTTTTCGGCTACCTCGATCAATCAGGTCAATCAAGGCAAGATGAAGTAAACGACTTGTTTTTCTCCAAAATTCCCAAAAACATACTTCCTCGTTTTAGCAAATTGACATTCCCGGTGTATTTTCTTCTCAACAAGAGTATTATCCATACGTTTATTTTAAACTCGATCTTGATTATATCGAAATGAGCACAAAATAGAAACCAGTACATGTATTTCACCTTTTTATTTTTCGTGCAATTCGTTCCATTCCTAAGTATATATGTGATCAGTATCATCAGTATCATCATCATCATCATATTTTTCTTTCCCTTCTATTTATTTTCAATATATATTTTATCAAAAGCAATTACTTGTATCACCTTCGTATTCAGCTTATGAACTAACTTTTTTCGTTCGTAGATGTTACCTCGAATAATGTGCAATGTATTTTCTTTTTCTTCGAACATAATAAATAATTTTATGCATTTATGCGTCTGAATGATTCGAAACTGACTCGTAAGAATTTCCGTTCTCGCTGAGAACATTGAAGTGCGTCAAGTGTGTTGACTTAGCAAAGTGTAACTGATATGCCTACATATTCAGGTCCAGTAATTGTGTAGAAATGCGAAGAAAACAATAAATAAACTTTTATTATCTTAAATCAATAGGATTAATGGCGAATAAAGAAGAGGATTAACAATGAAGATCGGTTTAAAAAAATAACAGCAGGATAAATAGCAAGAGGAAGTTTATCGCTAAAGGCAAACAGATATCAGACTCTAGAACAACGAAAAACCTATGTTGAATATGGATTCTGCTTCTGATATTACCAGAATATGTTGCAAATTAAGATCAAGTGACATGTTTAGATGTGGGCGTTGCTGAAAATGCTTGATTAACAAATGAAAATGAATCGAATTCGCTTTGATCTATTGTCATAATGAGTTGTTTGTCAGTAGGTGTAAATTGTAATGGTTCGAGTGTGAAATGTCCGTCAAAATTTAAAGTGTCGTGATACGATGTCTACAATAAACAGCAACATATCATCTACTTTTCAAATGTCGCATTTCATCTTCACAAGACAATTCGAATCGATTATTTTCAATATTTTATGTCAAGAAAATTTCTTTTGAAAATACATGTCATCGACATCATTGATAGCAAATGAATTAGAACATGAGAACATACACAGATACACATAAGCTAGATGAACACAAAAAGTCGATATTGACACGTTGTAACATGAACGAAAAGCTGTGAGATACAAAATATTGAATCACTAGAAACGAAAACCAACAACGACGAAAAAGAAACGAATGACAGCGATACAAAGTAAAAGATTTTTGTTTGAAAATTGCTCATTTAGTTTTGTGCTTTTTGATAGAAGATTCTTCAGATAAACCGGTCAGGGGAAATGCGTATACACACAAGTAGCAAAGAAGAAAAATATGACAATGTATTTCTATGTATATCGATTGCCTTTTGTCTTTGATGCTCTTTAGTTTAGTGATCACGGACGAAGTGAGGATTATAACAGGAGAAATGTTGAAACGTATCTCTATCAATGGATTCGAGTACAACTTTATCACATTCAGTCTTCTTAAATGGACTATTTGTAAAGCTTTTATCAAAATTCTCCGCTTGACGAGGATCTTTCTAAAAAAAATTAAGACAAAGATACAACATTCGACTTGGACAATAATCAGTAAACATATTTTCAAGGTTCAAACTAATATTTATACATCGATAGAGAGAGAGGATTGTCGGATACTACGTACTATTTTAGGTTTGAATGGTGGTTGAACTTCACGCGCTTCGATCTTTTGCCAATCAATGCGACGAAAGAATGTATGCTCTTTGATTTCACGTTCGCCGTTTATTACATGGCAACCAAGACGTTTCTGAGGATTTTTCTCCATCAACTATAAATAGAACGAACTTATAGAGATACAGTTCATGTCTAAACAGAAAATAGTGTACCTTTTTGCAGATATTCACAGCTTCGAATGTCATTGATTTCGGATACGATACATTACGATCGGTAATCGCATTGAAAAGTTCATCTTCATCCTCACCATCAAATGGTGGTTGTCCGGCTAACATTTCGTAAAGTAAGACACCATACGCCCACCAATCGACACTTTTGCCGTATTTTTGATAGAGCACGATCTCAGGAGCAATGTAGTCTAAACGAGAAATCTAGGAAAAGTATTCGCAAAGGATTTTATCGAACCTGGTGTTCCACAAAAGGTGGATGTTTTCGCATCATTGATGATTCCATCTTTGCACATTCCAAAACTAAAGCAATATTCTATAAGATAGCATCGATCGAAGATTGTGGACTTACTCAGCTATTTTTATGTGTCCTTCTCTATCGAGCAGAACATTATCTAATTTAAGATCTCTAGCAAAAGCAAAATGAAAGAAGTTCACAGATTGATAGTCTAATTAACTTTACCTGTAAATGATTCCCCTGCTGTGTAAATAGAAAAGGCCAATTGCAATTTCAGCCGAGTAAAAACTAAAATAAAAGTTGAACTTTTCTCAGTCAATTTCATCAAACTAGATTATTTACCAAGCCACTGGCTCTTTAAATCTTCCTTCATGTTGTATTCGATACATCAGATCACCACCATTAACAAATTCCATGACAAAGAACAACCGATCCTAGTGAAAGTCGAGAAATTATCTTGGAAAAACCTTCCGTTCTGTTTGCTTTACTTCTGATTGAAAACAGGAATGTAACTGAACTAGAAATTGAGGTTTGTCATGTAATAATAACACACGTTTTTCAATCATGATACATTCCAAATCATCATCTTGAACGATCATGTCCTTCTTCAGGATTTTTATTGCATATAATTCATCTGTTGTTCCTTTCCGTTCAGCTAGTACAACCTAAAACAATCCGTTGTATAGAAATTCGTTTCATTCGTTTCGAAAAGGGCTTGTTTTCGACTTACTTTACCAAATGAACCTTTGCCGAGTACTTTAATAAAATGAAAATCTGTTTCTTTAATCGGACTGACATGAGATGTCGAGCGAATCAAAATTTCGCCGCCAGCAGCTGCTGCTAATCGACTTTTATCAGTTGGTAAAGGTGGTAATGATGTACGAGACTAAAAAAAAGAAAATCAATTCAATATTCTCTTTCTTTTCAAACAAGCGATTTACTTGAATTGTTTGTCGCATTTTTATTAAATTTTCCTCCGTAGATACCGGTACTGCATAGAAATCACCTTCTTCTTGACTTAATAATTTGAACCATCCTTCGACTGATTCTTTCATTAATTCCGAAACACCTGTTATATTCCCATAGAAGAAAAGCTTATTGAACTTTAAACGAAAGAATGCTCACCGAATGAAAGTGAACCCATAAAGTCATTTCTCGACGTTCGATCCCAATCCCAAACAGCAATTAACAATCGCTTATCTCTATCATCATCGACTAGATCACTAAAATATCTCCATCGGACGGTACTCATTCTGAAACTATGGACAACTTACATCGTAAAATTGTCATTCCAAAGTGGATTTAATGTTCCACGTATGACCTTTGTTTTATATTTCGTTTGAAATTGCCTTGCACTAGCACCCGGTGTCGTGGGAATCAATTTGATTTTAACATATGGATCGCTCAATCCATTTGGATCCATTGGAATTAAGTTTTTTGCTTCACCTATTTCAATCCGTAATTTGTTTTCCGATTCATACTTGACGCTGATGCGTATTCGTCCACGACGTTCGGTATGATCGAGACCACACAATTCCGGCACAAATGTTCGACAATTTTTGTGAACATTCATATCACAACATTGACATTTCAAACCTTGATGTATGAGACCGTACAGGAGAGAACCACAGTGATCACAGAATGTCGGCGAAGTGTACGTATGTGTTTGAAATTTATGAACATTTCGTGGTGCCTAGACAATTCATCTTTCGAATAAGTTGTTGATTACAAGGATCAACCTTACATCAGAATCAGCTCCTCTATCAACACCAGGACAAGCAAAACTGATAAATTCATGACAACGTTTGTGAACAACAAGTGAACAAACTAAAAGAGAACAATCGATATGTTAGCATTTACACTAATTTGATATCGTCTGATGTATAGATTCTTTCCTATGCTAGCATTGATCAAGGCAATGACCTTTTCATTAACTTTCAATGATCAAAACTTTTAACAGCTAAATTATTGCATACAACATAGAGTTGTAAGTCTAGAATCCTACATATAGATGAAGCATCTGTTCGGTTGATTGTAATCTCCAATTTACCATCTGTCACAGACTAAAAGACTCCTATTTTATCTGATAAACATAGCTCTTGCCGGTTGATAATCTGAAAAAAAACTTACTTTGACATTGCAGTCCTTGTTTACCAAAACCCCTGAAAGAAAAAGTGATCTTTCAACTGATCAATACACGAAGAAATCTGTTTACCAGATGAAATCCCGACAGTGTGAACAAAACGTTGGTGTTTTGAAAAATCTTGGAATAAATTGATGATTTTTAACGATAATAACATTCTTTTGTCTTAGAGCGCCACGTCGTGCGAAACCTTGTGGACGTTCACTTGATCCCAACGAAGCATTTTCTCTCGATACACTCGAATCCATTCTTTTACTTCCTTGCTCCGACATTGTTTGCTGTAATACTGTCGATATACGATTAGTCGACTCGTTCTCACGAACAAAACCTATTGCTTGGACAACAGCAGCACACGTTGGTGCTAGAAACACATAATAAAAAGTACGACAGATTAGTATTCAGCAATTGCAATGCAAAAACAAAGCGTCAAGGCATAGTAATAATAACGAATCGAAAATATGGCGACTATTCTTGTTCTTTTTCTTTTTCTATTTTTTCTTCTCGGCATTTGTATACATTCTGTTATTGATATGACATCATCCGAAGCTACATAATAATGGTAACGTTTGTTTTCCAGTTCTGGCTAATATATACATCAACCTTTTCTTATCAAATCAATCTATGATATAACTAGGAAAATAGAAGATGTTTTTTCATTAGAAATTCATGGTAAGCGATATACTTAACGGGAGAGTAATTACAAGTCTGTTCGATATTCCTAATCAGATCTGTGAAGAGTATCGTGTGAGATAAATTTGCCTTGATTCAGTTCCGATGATCTCACCCGCAGTCAGTTTTTCGTGTTTTGACCAACATCATCGACTTACCGTGCTTTTCGAATGAATATTTGTTCTAATAGATGTTATGCTATTTAATATCCCATAATGAATGGAAAACAGAAGACGAAGAGAAAAAAAGAAAAACCGACATTTATTTAGTTTGTCTGTTTTTACTGCCCGAGCGTTATCAAGGACTCACTAGACGACAAATTTTCTTGTAATTTTTCATCTTTCAGTGTTTGATTTATTTTGACAGACGAGGAGTGCGTATGTAAACAATAAACTTAAAAAAAAAGAAAACTATCAGCCGACGATACTTTCCGTTCTATCTCTTCTGATTGAATTTCTTTGACACGTCATAGAGAACTGAAATCGCATAAGTAAGAAAAGGAAAAATTCATGTCAGTTTTCATTGACGAAACAAGAAACGAACGCCAATAAATCAATTAGACTGTTAAGTATAGGGAAAAACGCATTTTACGTAAGAATCAATTAGAACAAATTCAATCTGATGCGATCAAATCACTCATGCTAATGAGAACTTGCGAGCGACTCATCTCCTTGTCAAGAAAACGAATTGAAAGATGATGACAAATGTGAACTGTTAGTTAACGATCAACTGAATTTGTGAGATGATCCTATAGAAAAATATCACATTCACAGGAAACTCACAGAACAACACACATAGCTAACATATGCACGTAGTCTAACAATATTATAGCCGTGTCTACTTTAATCTTCTATGAGTAGGGTTAAAGTCGATAGTGAAGTATCTGTTAATAAGATCTGAACATGAAAGTGATTGTTATATATAGACATAAATATCGATTTTTATGCAGATAATTCGATGTTAATTGAAGATGAGTGTAAGTACTACCTGTTCGTGCCATTCCTTCTGCAATTGAATGTCTTTGATGCGGTTGATGAGTCGATTTTAATTGATTTGATTTACTTCGATTAAGTTCCATGGTTTCTCTTTGATTGACAAGTTATTTCATCGATCTCGACTTTCTTAGTCGTTTTCACTATTCTACGTTTCAATTATGTCATCAATAAATAATATGACAAGTTGTCGACGCACACATACAAAACATGTGTGTGTATTTATCTATATATATATATCTACATTGAAGACAAATAGAAGGAACAGATTTCTCTATACTCCCGTATTCGATGGAAATATTGCGACAAATAAACTCAATGAGAATTAGTAACATCGACCGGCAATCGTCGTTCGATATTTTATCTTCTCCAAAGAGGAAAAGATTGAACGCGAGAAGAAGAAAAAAAAAGAGATAGAAGGAAAAAATCGAGAAACAACAACGACGGCGATTGTCTTTATTCAATATAAATGATACCATTATCACTGTATCATTTATACATGTACACACACACACACAGAGCAAATGCTTGTCTCACTGAATGAATAAACATTGTCTAACCGAGATCATCCTTGACATGCATAAAAGAAAATAAATAATCAATTTGATTCAGAAAAACAGAGTTGAAATTAATAATGTAAAACTAAAAAAGAGTGAGCATCTCAAGAGATTACAATCGCATGTTGATTTGTTAGCTGGACTGATCAAAGGTGGCAAAGAATAATCATTTGTTGTTCTGATTAAAAGAATATTAGGTCCTTCATTCAAAACTAATGTACTGATCTACACCGGAATATTTCTTCTTTAAACGAACCAATTAGCGTATAATGCGATCATACGCTTGTACAATCATGTTATCAGAAGTCTTTTCTTCAACAATCGATAGCAAACATGAGATACGATCGAAATTGGATTATGTAAAACCATCACATTTCTCACAATTCGATTCGTTCAAAGGTTAATAGAAACTTGAACGAGTAGCTTTCATAAATAGAAATTCTGCTGTTTGTTCATTTGCTTCTTACATAATATTTAAGCAGATGAGATTTTCATTCATATGTCTATGTCAATGTTGAATTAGAGTGATCAATTCTCTTGTTACTAGTGTGATGATTGAAGATGAGAGAACAATCAAAGAACTATGACATACATACATTGGATTTGTTCTTTTCTCCGAATATTCATCTAATCCGGTTCTATCGAAACTAACTTCCACTGACTGTTGAATGGCAACGATAAGAGAAAGAGCAAAAAAAGAGGCAAGTCACTTATTAGCACTTCTAGTGTTGTTTCTATAACAGTTCTTATCTTTTCCAATGTGTCGAGAACTCTTAACCAATCTCTTTCTATCTCTTGGAAAGTTCGAAACGCATGACAGTAACAACAACAACAACGTCAAGACCGTTTCATATCCATTCAGTGTATTCTATATGGGGATATAATGGCATTTTAATGAGGAAAAAATACCATTGCGCATATACGCCGACCGGGACAGACAAACGCATCTGTACAATAGGTTTATCTTAAGTATTATCGCTTATCCAGGAATAAATAAACGAAAATGATCGACATCTGTTTAGGTTTTGATTCGACATAACTTACGTGGAAAAGAATTGCTTAATAGCCAAGAATAAACATAATCGAATATGATCGAATTAAATCTGGTTAATAATCTGCAAGATTAGATGGAAAATCAATTAGAGAAAAAAAGAAATCTAAAGTGGTAAAAATAAAAACCGAAAAATGCTTTGTCGACAACAGATTTTCATCCTGTTAGCTGAAGTTCATTATATAGATTGCACGAATGAATGGCTAAGTAGACAAAGACAACTAATATCAAAAGCTGCTCTACTCTTCACAAATACGACGATCGAAGTCTTTCCTTTTCTACCTTTTACTGAACAAATTTTCATTTGAAGAACTGAAACATCGATCAATTTATATGAATATTCATGTCACATGTCTATTTAAACGTGAGATCCTGTTCAAACGAACACCCGTGTCATTAAGAAACAACCATCGATCATTATCGAAGCATTGTGTCACAAATATTCCTTTCATTTTTCCATACGCTATCATTCATCTATTGTTCGATTTCAGATCATTCAATCAGTCTATGAATGCTCTATTGAAAATCTTCTGCAATTTTGCTTTCCTAACCTCTCCCATTCCAAATCTTCTTACCGATATCGTATGAAAACACTTTGTGACAGTTACGGACAATTATATTGTTAGAAAGTAAGGAAACCTGACACTTTTACTTGCTTTGTTCTTTACTCTATGTTTGCCGATGGTGTTCTGCCTTTCTCGCTTTCTCTCTCTCTCTCCCTCTCGTGCGCTCCTTTTCTTCTGCTTACGTCAATATAGACAGAAAAAAAAACTTGGCAATAAAGTGAAACTGAGAGAATACTCTGGCTCTTGTCATACAGTGTCATATGTTTCTGTATCACGTATATTATTGTCTTAAGATAATGCATTATCCATGATAAAATCTCAATCTTTTCACTCTAGCTGATCTTTGGACAGTGACCGGATGTTAAATCTGACATTGATCTATCAATCATCTTGTCATATGCTGAGTAATTCACATTAACTACCGACTCGAACGATCAACATATTCCAATGATAGATGAAAGTTCGTTCGGAACTGATTTGTTTTTCATTCAAGTTTGATATATGAACCGGTTATCATAGGAGAATGTTCCATCATTGATTAATTTTTCTATTCGGCGAAGTACTTAATAATGCAGAATAAATATCAAAACAATAAACGGCTCTTTCATTAAATCTGTCGAAATAAGTAGTTCCTATTTGCACCAGAAAGAAAACTAGAATCAACAAAGAATGCGTGTTTCCGGTTCTACATAATCGATTAATTATACAAAAAGATCGTCTTTGTTCCATACGTACTACATAATTCATTACAACTAGATGATTCTTAAATATTGACCATGAGCCAGCGATGATTAGATCCTCTTGACGACAATGTTACATGAGTATTCAGTGTGTGGTGGTATGAAAAAAAAATCTTGAGAGCTAATGTCTTCCTACTGCACTTAAAGAAAATGACAATATCGTGAAGTAGGAAGTCCAATACTTTCGCTATGATTTAATTATTAAGAATAACGTTCAGTAAAGCATGGTGAACATGTTCTTGTTTGGTAAAGTAATCAATTCATGAGAAAGGAAAAAAGCGTTATTGACGTACATTGACAAGATCCCTTTCGAGATAAAATGGAACGTTTTTAACTTATCAAATATCACTCAAGATCAATGATGGATCACTATGTGTCCATGTAATATCAACACACACACACCTGTAAAAACAAAATCAGCAAAATGTTCCGAGTGTTCTTTGATATATGAAGGAATGATGGATTGACTTAATTCATTTCAGATCGCTCTCAAGGTCTTCTATGGCACCGCGTGACGAACAGTAATCTTAGACTGGAGAATTTCGAAATTATCTTTTCTTTTTTCGTTTAGATCTTAAATGTCGAACGATTGTTCCTCTCCACCAAGCTTGAATCCGTCTGATGGCTTCTTCTTTTTGCTTTTGTAGTTCGAATAAAATCTTTGCATCGAGCTTCATTTGATGATATTCGTCGACGATAATCTTCATGCGTTCGTATTCATCATACATATCCTGTCGTTGCCGTTGTAGTTGATGAAACTCATGTCGAAACTGATTCAGTTCTCTTTCAAATCGATAAGTTTCATTCTGATAGTAGTCATACCACTTCTGACTGTTCAATTTTAATTCGTTATTTTGCTTTATCAAGGTCTTGATTGTCTCTTGATGAGCAAGTTCTGTGTGTTGAAGAACTATTTCGTATTGATGGATTGTTCTCGTATAGGTTCGTTCAATGTGTAACAACATTTGTATCCATTGGAGAATATGGTTCGTCTTCCAATCGTTGCAATACCGAAGGGCAATTTTTGAACGAACTTTTTCTTCCATGAGTTGATTCGTTAGTTGAAATTTCATGTGATTGAGTTGATTTATGTGTTGCAGATTGTCCGGTTGGAAATGCTTTTGCCGAAAAATTAAATGCTTGATTTTATTTTGCGAGTCATTTAAACGGATGTTCAATTCATTGACTTGTACAGACAGTAGGTGAGAAAGTGGCTGGTTATTATTTAAAATTGATGAAAGAGTCAACACTCGAAGTCGATGATCATTGCGAATGATATTAAGTTGATCAAAGGCATCTACGGAAATTGTCGCTAATTCGTAATCAGTAGCTGAAATATCTAAGACTGCATTCATCGCTCTAATATCAATCAAACCATTGCAATGACAAAACACAAATTTTCTTTTCGTAGATATGAGAAGTGTTCAAGCGCGTTTTCTTGTTCTTTTTTCATCGATTTATTCAAAAGTAATGATCACACAAACGTCTATCCATTTGTTGTCTGTGCTATTTTGTCTCGCTCTCTCTCTTCCTCTCTTTCTTTCTGGGTTTTTCTGTTGTAAATAACATGCAAAAAAGAAAGTACATGATCAGGAGTAACAAACGAGGAGGTAAAAACACATACGTATATCTATGACAACGAATAGAGAAAAAAAATAGATCGAACAGGAAATGTAAGGATTTAAAAAAAAAGACCAAAAATGAAGAGTATATATATTTATGTAAACAAAAATTTGTACAAGAATAGTAAAATATGTGTAGACACATAGAATAGATATAATGTGTAAACGAAACGAGAGCTTGCTGTTGCTCTCATCATTATCATCATCACAGAAAGAAAAAGAAGGAGGAATGTCCCCAGGAGTGTATTTGATAAGTCCGTATATACATAGACGAAGACGACAAGTCCAAAAAATAAAAATAAATAACGTTCATCAATATCAACATGTCAAACATGATGATAATTGAATCTAATTATTCAAGTAAAGAAAACTGAACTCATGGAGATGATGAACAACTATCGTATAGATCTAGCCTGGAAAACATGGTTTTCTTGTTCTGGAAAGGACAAAATAGTATGTCTGTTTGTGTGCGTGTTATATAGATAAGTAGATATTTGGATATAAAGAAATATAGAAAAAAAAGGCGAGAGAGGGAGAGAGAGAAAGAGACGATTGACAGCAATGAAAAAGAAACGTCACGCGGGCAAAAATGGAGTTTTTAGAAAATAAATTAGCACACATACGAACAAAAATCAGTCTATCCTTTGACTTTTTGTCCTCCTGATGAATTGAATGATCCGTTAGGCGTCCCATTGGACTGTCGACAGCCATTTTGAATGGACATGGGCGTCGCACTTTTATTCGACGGTGAGAGTTCAATCGTGGCCGTATTATTATTGTTATCATCGATAGTTGGATAACAATCGCGACAGACCCGTACAGGACGAGAACTTAATGAGGGAATTAGTTTATAATGATTAGCACAACTATTACAGAACACGTTGCCACATTCTAAAGGCAAAAAGTGCATTGACATGAATGTCGTGTGAAAAATCAAACAAAACATACTTCGGCAATGATGTTTTCGTGAAAGAGGCCATTGTTGGAATTTCGAATGACATGAGTGACACGTGTGAACGTTAAAATCGGGCATCCAGCGCGTTACAGCTCCTTCGGTATTATCAATCTTTTGCCATGATGCGCATGAGGATGTTTCAACACTATTCATATTACTATGGGATGCTGCATCCATATGTGGCGATGTATTCTATTCGAGAGAAAATCGAAATGAAATTCAATGATTGTGAAGTATATAAAGAATACAAACATGATTATTATTGTTGGCGGTGTTATTGTTAAGTTTGATTAGAGTGTGAACGAATTTTTGCATTCGCCGCATATGTTCATGGAGATGTTCGATTTGTTGGACATAAGCTCGTTCTTTTTCTAACATTCTGGATGTAACTTGATCGGGAATCTTTGTGAGACCGTCAACATCGATACGTTTTCGAACTGATTTCATTGTTTTGTTCGATGTTGAGGATTGACCTGTTGGAGTCGTTCGATGAGGTTGATTGGGATCGTGTGAATTGATCTTTGTCAATGACCATGCTTCAGACAGACCTGAACCGGTACTTGAGGTGGAATTTGTGTGTTTTCGTGGATGTGACATTGTTCGTAAAATATTATCAACACTACTAACATTCAATGGAAAACGTTGAAACGATAATGCTAATTGAGTTATATCTGGTGCGGAATCATCTGTAGCAAAGCTTTGCCGTTTCGTTTGACTATCTGGACTATCATGATCGTTCGTATTAGCTAGAGTCACAGTCGAAGGCGGAGTGATATGATTCGCATTTGGTGTTGAAGGAGTTGATAGACCATTGACGGGATTGTTTGTCATATTGTGATTACTGTCGTTGTGCGTACCAAGGTGATGTGGAGGTCCAAATAAACTATTTGTAGATGTCGAATTTTGTAAACGGGTTGCTTGATTCGGCGTTGTTGATATTGTATTGTTATTATTGGTATTACCGGTACGAATTGTGATTGACGAGGATTCCAGACTTACTGAGCCACTTAAACTTGGATCGGATGTCGACCGTTGTAGACCGGTAGTTAACGATGATGAAAGATCTTCGTATGAATGTAGATGGCCAGGTACTAAGGACGATGAAGATGATGGATGCTCGGATGAGCCGGCAGGAGTAAAACGTGTATCACGTAGGTATAAATTTGACCATATACGTAAATCACGAACGGAAGAGGAAGGATACAAAACCTTGAAAAACAAATATGTACGCATATTCACGTCAATGACAATCAATAATCTTACCTCTTTCCGTGTTTCATCAAATAAGTGATTAATAAATTGTGTGGATTTAATATTCAATAAACTCCACACACTCAATGTTCGTGTTTCGAGTTTAGCTGCTGTTCGTTCCGAGTCCGAATTACATAAAAATGTTCCATGTAAACAAGTATATGTATGCGTTGCCAATTTGAGCTAAAAAATATCATGTCTAGAGATTTATTTTTGTTCGAAAGTTTATCTTACGAGAAACATTTCATTGAATTCAAATGCAATGGGGTTCTGGACAAATAACTGATAGATACAATCTAACCATTGAAGGAATACAGGACTTCGTTCATTTGGATCGTTCGCTCCCACGCCATGACCACATCGATCACCAAACTTGTGTCCAAATGCGATCCATTCGCGTTGTATCAAGATTTGAAAGCCTTCTATTGTTCGATAGTACGAGTCGAGCATAATCTCAGCTAATGTTGTTATTTGCGGTGTTCGATCCCAACCATCTGAACAATGAACAAGGACAGGTCGACTGTTTTTATCAACATTGGCTACTACAAAAGATGCAACACTGATCAATGCTGATAGATTGTGCAGCCATCTCGTTGATTCTAACTGTGAGAGCCAATTCTCGCCTTGTGCGGCATTTGCAATCGCCACACGTAACATCTGCGCACTTTTTCGGATCGCATGAATATTTGGTAGATTCATAAATTGTACATCACAATCAGTATAATAGGGCGGATATTCGAAGCCACCACCTTTCGCACGATTGGCAATCGCTGCAGCATAACTTCGTGCATCGAGAATTAACAAACGATTGGAACTACTTTCACCTAGACGAGATGATATATTTTTCGTATATGTTTTATTACTGGTAATCGTACTTACGAGGAATAGAATCAACTGTGCCGATATGACACGCAGTTATGATAGCCTGAATCATTTTTTCGTCTTCTTTCGAACGCCAGAACAGCCATCCGACCTCAGGTTGACTTGTACGAGCAATAACAGCTCCGTTCGAATGCCTCCAAACAATCGTTGGAAATCTTCGGTAGGAGCGAAACTTCGCCACTTCACCTATTTCTTCATCAGATATTGACGATGGAACAACACAAAGTTCTGGATAACTAGTGCATAATTTATATTGTCGATTGATTTCTGTCAATCGCCACGGATATGTATCGAGTTGTAAACGAATTAATTCATCGTTGAAACGATCACGTAACGAATGTTCTTGGTTTGGTACTGACAAAGCAAATTTAATTGCAAATAAACTTTCGAAACAAGTCGGAATTGTAATCGACTCAGTTAACTTTCTTAACCAATAGCAGCATTTCTCTGTGGTAAAGAAAGTTAAACGAAATGAACGCATGTCTTTGCATTGGATGAATAAATAGTTGTCTTTTGTTTCGATAATATCAATCAACCGTATCGGACAGTTAATAAATGAACAACATGATTGATTTGCGAATATAAATAGACGATAAGTCGTCAAGTAAACAATTCCGTCGGATACATCTGTTCCGTGCTCAATGTATTCTTCACCAGCTAGGAAGTCGAATGGTAATTCATTCAAATCGATTATAGATTTTGTTGTATTGTCAATAGATAACTCATTACACGCAATGGGAAACGACTGTAACGGTGATAGTGTACTACAGAGTGATTCAGGACGTGGTTCGATTGGAATACTGCTGGAGACTTCACACAAATGTATATCTGCTTCTTCGTCAATAGTCACCGGTGATGGTGCTCCGACAACCATTTTATTTCATGAAACGTATGAGAACTTTTGCTTTTTCAGAAAATGAATTTTACATGGACATCTAGAAAGAAAAATCAACATAAAGGCGACGAGTTTAACCTTCGAAAAACATCTGATCAGTTGATATTGCGTTTTTTCGTATTCCGTACTGTAAACTGTTGAAGGAAACTATTCAATTGGAAAGTTGCTATAAATAATAAAAACTGAAAAAACGAAACAATGATACGAAAACAAAAGTTACTTTTGTTGTTTTTCAAGAGGAGGTGTGAGGAGGATGGGATGGGACTGAGAAGAGAATCGTTAGATAAGTGAGTCATTTGATCATTGTGTTGATTAAGAACAGCCAATCGAGTTTAGGTTACTATGACAGAAAAGAATTTTCGAAAAAGATTTTCGGGAAGTTTCCTAGAACTATTCTTTTAATACTGAATCAAAATTATACTAAATATTTAAGTCATGCTGGCGACATCTATACCAACCGGCCAGATAATAGCCAATTGAGAACGGTGTCGTAATAAAGCAAAGCAATCGGAAACTATGGTAAAAATGAACGAACTGATAAGATAAAAGCACAATAGAATGGGAATGTTCCCACGAATTACTGAAGAGTGATTGAAATTTGTTATTAATCATTTATTGAACAGAATGTGAAAAAGAATGAGTAAAAGTAACAAGCGTTTTGAAAAATTTAAGAAACGAAACATTTGTGTACGGAGGGAGTACGACGCATTTCTTGATTTGACTGCGTGAATGGTATGGATGATGATGACGATGAGGTCTTAAAAAACAAAGAAATAGTTTCTATCCAGAATAAGCAAGAATTGAAATTAGCAATAAATTGACACTTAAATAGCGTTAGGACTTACCAGTCGTTTGAAATATCGTTCATCCCGAAGCGAAATGACTTCTAACGGCCGCCTCCACCACCGCCTCCACCACCACCACCGCCACCGCCACCGCCACCGCCGCCGCCACCGCCACCGCCGCCGCCACCACCATTTCCTGAACCACCAGGGAGACCCGGCATACCAGTACCGCCGATACCGCCGCCACCACCTTGAGAGCCAGCCATACCAGCACCGCCATGACCGCCGATACCACCGCCACCACCTTGAGAGCCAGCCATACCAGCACCGCCATGACCGCCGATACTACCGCCACCACCTTGAGAGCCAGTCATATCAGCACCGCCATTGCCGCCGATACCACCGCCACCACCTTGAGAGCCAGTCATACCAGCACCGCCATGGCCGCCGATACCACCGCCATCATCTTGAAAGCCTGACATACCAGCACCGCCATTGAAGACTCCGAAGCCACCAATGCCACCAGTGCCACCATTGAACACGCCAGCACCACCGGTTCCAGTTACGCCTCTAGAATATTTATGCACAACAGTCGATCATCTTCTAGAAACAACTGTTTATGAACTCACATAACTTGCTGAGTGACAACCATATCTACCAATAAACAAATCGTATATATTTGATTTTCATGCAATATCACGAGCTGCTTCCCTACCTCGAATATGGATGTTTAAAATCATCGCTAACAAGAAACTTATTTGGATGTACGACGACATTTTTGTCTTTTACACACAATCACCTGCAACTGTTGACGAATAGTCTACGTGCTTGTATGCCAACCAGTTGCTGTATAAGAATTAAATCAGAAACGTACGACAACGATCTTGCGCGGCAACGATAAATAAATTGTGAACTATGATACGACCCGGGAAAATTCATTCCTTTATATAGACCTCGAACAACAAAGAAAGAGAAAAGTATAGATCTATCTTCTGACAATAATCACAAGTATTATCAAATAAGATACTTCTACATGTCTGAACAACGAGGAACGAAAACAAAGAGAAATCTCGAACATTAATCTACCCTATATGCTTTTCATGCGGAATTTCATTCCAGACGCCTTTCTAATTATGAACTTTTCTATAAGCTCTTGCCAAAAAACAATCACTAAACATATTCAGCACTTCCATATCCTTCCTTCATTTTATTTCAATGCAACTATCACGAACAAATCCTCTTTGCTTAAAGTGCACTCGATCTCTCAGAGCAAGCACAGTATCATGCCATCCAGCACTATCCTCCGACCAAATCTAAACACATGATACAGCTGTTGCAATACAACTATTATTTTTCTCAATTTGCTACTACAATATAATCAGTAGTGAATAGTCAGATAATCTCTCACAACAATTCTACAAGTTCATAAAACGATTTGCTAGTGCTTTGTAAATCATCACAGATTCTTCTCGAATAAATCAAAACGCGTCCAGATACCATGTAACAAGGATGATCTACATTTACGTTCTACATATATTCTAAGATAAGTACTTTCACGCTATTCTTCTTTTCTTTTCTTCACTTTTCTTTTCTTTCCTTGTTATTTTGGACGAATTCTTTCTGTAAGACCTCACTCTTACAGATATCTCTCTTCGTTTCAATTCATCTAACAACTTTACATGGCTGAACTTGCCGTACTGATCTCCCTCTCTCTCTCTCCCTTTCTCGCTGCCGGTCATTGTCTTCTACACTGTAGGCACCTGGATCTCTTTGTACACTTTCTGACTTCGATCTCCATTCTCTCGTTGTGTGCTCGCATATAAATACTGTCATGTTTCACACACAACTTATCACTACAGTTGGTTATCTAACCTGCACGCTGCAATGATTTCAAGCTTCTCTCGCTCGTTCTACTTGCTTCTTGTAAGCCTTTTCATCATCGCTCAAGGTATGTTCATCGATGCTTCGTTTGCTTTTCGACGTTTGCTTATGTTTTCCTTTGTGTTGCAGTCATGGGCCTCATCGGCATCACCTGGTAAGTGTGTTTTGGAAGACCTGCGCTGGCAGAGATCTCATGATGGCGTTGATTGCAGGGCACGCCAGGGTGGCGGCGGCGGTGGCGGTGGCGGTGGAGGAGGTGGTGGAGGCGGCGGTGGTGGCGGCAAAAAGTGAGGTGACTAGCACGGAGACGATGTTCAACATCATAAGTAAGCACACTGCTGCCTTTCTTCCGTCGTTCACATCCTGCATCGTTTACGCTTGCCTAGATATGGTTCATGG